TTTTATACCAACTTTTAAAAAAATTATTTTATTTTTATTTCTTTCTTTGGTGTGTAGAAGAACTTGGGTATAGGCCAGAGGTTGGGGGCAGGGGTGAGAGGATTCACCAAAGACAGAGTGGTGAGCAGAACAGGTGGATTTACAGAAATACATTGCTAAGAGTAGTAGCTGGAGAGGTCTGCTGGTCATATGTGGGTTAGCACTCAGTCCATAGTGGTGATAGCACTGAGACTTAACCCTTAAGCCACCAGGGAGGCTCCCTATAACAAACTTTCAATTAACTGTGTAATGTCATGCAATTTTCCACTTCCAAATTTCACTTCACATGCATAAACACACACATGACATTTCTACCATTTTTTTTTGGTATGGTCTACTTTCTTACCCTTTTTATTCTCACCAATTTTTCCCTGAAAACTTTAAAGTCAGAGATTAACATATGAAGCAAAGTGTGACAAAAAGGGTTTAAAATGGAATGGGCAATAAAGATGAATAATTTGAAACAGCAACTTGCTCTGGAGCAATAACATAGATAGTGAAATTAGCGTGAAAAGTTTGTTTTGTTTTCTGATAAAAGAACACATTTTCTTTTCTAATAAATAATCTTCTATTCTATGATATTTTAGTTATCTACTGGGATAAAATCTGTTATATGTTAATTTGTGTTTATAATTGATTTAGACTGTGGAATATAATCAGTCTTCTAGCTCACTGATACAAGTAGGGTAAAAATCTCAATTCATTTTTAACAATATTATATACACGAATTGATTTTTTTGATAATGGTTGCAAACAAACATCCACATGTATATTATTAACTTTAAATATGTAATATTATGGGACACTGGGCATATGATTCTGTGAGTGTGTGTTTATGTGTGTGTGTGACTCTTTTCCCCCATCTTATTAGTTTTTAAAACTGTCAGTAGTATAATTAAAATATTTATTTTGATTAACATTTCAAAAAGGTTTTCATAATGATGAGTGTCTATGCAGATGTTTTACCCAGTGTATGTATTAAATAGATATCTGTTACATCTCTTGTCCATCTTCTGTTTTTTCTTTTCTTTGGGATTTGTGAGAGATTCTTGTATGTTGAGGGATTCTTATTCTGCCTACAAAGAATTGTCTGGACTTTCAGCTCATAGAGTTGAAGGAGAATTCAAAAAGTTCATAGTTTCTAAAAAAATAAAAAAAAAATCACCAGGAAACCTGAGTCACTCATGACAGCATCAACTAGGGGAGCCTCCCAGGATATGTAAATGAAACCTTGGGTGCTACCTTCAGCGAGGTGAACTTAAAATACTGCAGACATCCATTTTAATAGATTCCACAGTTTGGTAAACTCTAATAATAACAAATTGCTCTTAATATTTAAATTTTTCATTAACATTGGGAAAGTATTGATGCAATGATCTCACTTTCTTACCTCAGATGTTACACCAACACCGCCTCACCTTTCCACGCATGGAAACTCGAAAGCGCCTTCTACCAGACCTGACACACAGACACTCAGCAGCTCAGCTGCCCTTACCACACGCACCCGTGCTGCTGGCATGAATGACACATCAGGTTTGCGGGTCCCTTAGACTTGTGCAAATATGAGGAGTGCACGCCAACTGCCTTGCTTAATAATGGTAGATGAGGGGTATTTGTCCCTGTGTAGCACTTACAGTTGATGAGCTTGAAATTTCAAACTTTCATAGTTACTCTTAGCCTATGAGGCCCCATGGGATGGTCTTGCAAGAGATGAAATAATAAAGAACGAGAATTATGATAATATAGGGGAAATTTCTTCAAGAGAAAACAGTTATTCACGTATGTGTTTCTTTATATCAGGGGCAAGTATTGTACCATGAAAATGAATTTTTTTTCTTTACACATTAATAAATAACACATTAATCTTTACTCAAAGCTCTTTTACTAATAAACAGAACAATGGAGAGTAGCTCATATTGACTCCACTATCAGTATTTTTTTTAAAGAATGAGAAGAAAGAAATAGATGATGCTCAGAGTCCCCATTCAAACAGCTGTCAGCTTAGCAACTCTATTTAAAAAAAAAATAAAAACAACAAAGTGTTACAAAATCAGTGTCTGAATCACTTCATGGTACCCCTTTTTTCCTCAAAAACAAGCATCATATTTTTCAGGTTACAAATCCAGTCATATATATTCCTTTAGTGACATGTGTGACTGAAGGTTACAGGTATGAAGAAAGCACCCACAGAATTGGCACTAAAATGGTTCTACTAAGTGTGGATCAAAGTTGGAAGTCAAACATAATTATGATTCTGGAGTATTAAAACTGCTTACTTAGCATAAAACCATCACAAGCAGTCTATAAACACTGAACTACTGAGTAAAGAGCTAGTCCATCTCCCTGCCTCATCCCACCTACACCTGCTGCCATAGGAACCATAGTGGAAAGAATTGGAGCTTTCAGCAAATCCACAGATTCAGAAGTTGAGGATGGAAAGGAGCCATAAAATAAAGGACCAAACTGTGGGGCTAATCTCCACACAAATTAGTCTATTTTGCCTCTATCAAGAAAGCCTTTTGATTAGTCCTCTCCCAGAGGCCAATTCCACTATGTAAAAATCTGTTTGGATTAATTAACCTAATTAAAATTATAAAATGCTACTCCTAAACTGTCATTGAAGGTCACCACACAGCAAGGGGAAAGTCATTTCCTTAGAAGAGTGATGGTAGCAAAGTGGGGGGTGTGGACACCTCAAAGTGGGGGGCGCCTCAAAGCAGTACATGTACAGGGATGGCTAGGAGAGGAAAAGAGCAAGAAAAGAGAAAAAGAGAATATGGCAAAGGGCTAAAGACAAATCTAGTTGATTAAAAACTTTACAGAGGGCCAATCTCTGATTATTTTTAAGGCTAAAACAATGAATCTTCCTATTCACCTGCTCCTTCTTTTGGAGCCTATCTCTGAGGATTCAGAACTGAAGAACTAATGTTTATTCTATACTATGGCTTCCCCATTGGAGTTTAGTGGATTTTGAAGTGGACCTGAGAACGCAAACTCATATTTAGGGGGAAGATGCTTTTTCATTTCAAATGGATAGTTTGGGCCTGGAGAAGGCCTACATTCTGATGTCAAAGTCATTTTCTAAATGTGTGTGCATGCTTCACCATGAGACACTGCGAATCAGACCACAAATGCAAGGCTGATATCACATCATTGAACGGATGACCCCTGGGGTGTTTACAGTGAAAAAGCAAACAAGCTTAAATAGGGAGTAGCTCGAATTTCTTAAGCTTTTGCTTTGACAGCTAACATCATGCTAGCTAGTAGATCCCCAATGAATGTATATTGATAGCCTGGGCTATAATTGTGGGTTGATACAGCATACATGAGGTGCTTTGAAGCTTGACTTTGAAACATCCTTACTGAATATAACATGCAGTTTCTTTATTACAACACTTGCTTCTATAACAACTAGCTCCTATGTGATTGGAAAAGAGAGAAAGTATAATGTGGAACTTCCTTAATTCCAAACCAATTCAACTTTTCCTGGTAAAGGGGGCATATATGACCAAAGCAGAATTGTAATCTGCATCTGGAAAGGGAAAAAAATTCAGAGCTCAGCAGCTATCTTCAGCTCTATTTTAAGAAAATTAGAAGTCAGCACCTCCACCCAGAGATCTTTCCCCAGGGAGGTGCACCCTCTGTGAGGTTCTCAGCATGTGGAAAGCTGCACTTCCTCCTATACAAACCCTAGCACAGGTTTTCACACTCAGAGCTCCTCGTCCACGTTCGTGGTGTGGTCTTAGCACCAACAAGCCCATACTCCACTCTATTACCTTGAAGGATTTTTGATGTCTCCAAAAGGCAGTTGTCAACCAGGAGGCTTGGGTTGTCCAAGCTACCTCTCAAAGTTAAAATTTGTGGTCTGATTACAAAGGTGCATAGATTTCGAGTTGCCTGCACTTAAATTTATCCCATAAGCCTTGCTGAACTTCGTTCAGATTGCAGAATGCACATGTGGTGGTACCTAAGTGCTTGACAGCTGCTCTGCCTTCGCTTCAATAATCTTCCTTTTGTGAGATGTCTGGCATTGCCCTGGCCTGGTAGCATGAGCAGCAATGCTGATGACCTTTCTGATTTCAGGTGCCCCAGAAGACAAGACTACACCCAGCACCTTGGATTCAGGCACAGCTTACACACCAGTAACCACCCTCTATCCTGCACTCAGCAGCTCCGCTGCCTTACCTGCACTCACCTCCAACAACCTCACCACAGATAACTCCTCAGGTTTGAAGATGGTGCTCTAGGTGTTTTAGGGTAGGGATAATGAAACAGGCACCTGAAACTTTCAGGCATCTCTTTTGTTTCACACCACATATTATCAGGTTTCCTGAGTTATGAATTTTCACAAATTAATACAAAATTAGGCAGAATAAACTTTGCAGGAAGCTTTTTTCTGGGCATATTTTATTTTCTGTATTATGAAAGTTTATGACAAAGAAGAAAGATGATGTACTTTATTCTTTTAATCCTGGAGTCACATCCAGTACTTTTACTTTCCAGCTGACTGTAACACAAGCTTCTAACTCTTTCTGTGTGTCTGTTTTCCTATCTGAAAAATGGATGTAATTTCATAAGATTGCTGTGAGGACTGAGTAAGTAAAATGTCTGAAATGCAATGAATGTTATAAAAGAGCAACCTGGATTCTTATTAGTAAATTAATGAGGAGAATTTTAATTGAAAGGGAAGGAATAGTTTGAGGAAGATGGTGAGTCAGGTAGGAATTATCTCAAGTCACCTTTCAACTATACAATACTTAATTCTAATGATTTTAACCACTAGTTATCTAAACAGACCATTGGTAGATAAATCTTTGGTCATTTTCTTATATTAAAGCAAACAAGTGTCAATTCAGATCAAAACTTCTAAAGATTCAGTTAGGATTATCTTCGTTATTTTTCCCTCACCCTTCAATATGACCAGCTCATTAACTTTTATTCTTCTGTTCATTTCCTTGCAGATCAGCCCATTGCACCATCCACTCAGAGCTCTCCAGCAAGCACTGCCCCTACAAACGCTTCCACAACCATAGGTGACAACCTTACCTCCAGTCATGCAACCATGCCACCCCCATGTACCTGGGATGTGTTCCCAGAAGAGTCTGCCACCTGATCTATCCTGGGCTCTTTTCTTTGAGAATCTGATAAAGCATTTTAATACTGAGGGTGGTAATTACTTATCTACTTTAGCAGGTGTAACTGAAGTGTTGAGGCCTAGTATTATTGTCATAACGTAGCCTCCCCAGGAAATGTGTGTTTTAATATTAATAAGTAGATAAATGCCCAAATATACTAGGACTTCTTTCTGTAAGAGTGAGTTTAGGTGTTTCTATGAAAAGGGACAGTTTTATCAATGGGACTCTCCATTCCATGTGTTGAGTGGCAAAGGACTATGGCTGAGTTTTGATCCAACAGCATGGAGTGTGGAGGCAAAGACAAGGGGCTTATAGGGAAGGAAGAGATTGGTGGTGTCTGTAAAGGCGCCAGGCAAAGCAGAGCCAGCAAGCCCACCATTCTCACTCAAAGTCTTCCTACTCAAAGATGAGATCAGCAGAGATCTCAGCTTTCATGGGTCAGTTAAATACATAGGTTCACACAAGATAATGCCTCAATTTGTTGAGAGAGCAATTATCCAGGATCTACTATATGTGCAAAGAGCTAACAAAAGTTAAACTAGAGAATGAAGCAACCCTTGCCTATTTCCTTGCTTAAACAAAAGTGTAAACTGAACTCTCTGAGGGCTATATTTATTTATATTTTAAATTAATCAAGGGATTGAGGACCTTTAGCATGTTTGAATATTCAACCTGAAAGGGCTTAATATTATTCTTATCACAATTTTGTTTTTGGGTAAATTTATGAAAATATTTTATATAACTAGCCCTTTAGTTATAATATTTGAAGTTCTGTGATCAAAATACTGTACTAGCAACTCTGAAACCTCAAATTAACCATAAAAAGAACTGGATAGGCTACAAAATTGGAACTTCATAAACCACCTTTCCCCAAAATGGTCATAGAAGAAATGTTTCAAAATTAAATTTTAATATTTGCCTTTTTCCCTTTTACAGCTCCAACTCCAGTGGTGCCCTGTGGTAAGTTTATGCACTGAGAAGTAGCATATATCATTTTAGAAGAGTATGTTACATTTTTTCCTGTATTTTAAGCTTCCAGGATCCACTAGAACGTTGAACTCACTGACTCAAATTTTTCACCAATGACAAGCTCCACATCTTAAAAGCCAATGTGCTTCAGGACCAAGAAGCTTTGATGTCATATTCAGAGCTAGTTTTGAGTACCAGGATTAATAAATAATACCTAGCAAATTGGGTGAAGCCACTTAACTTCAGCTCGGTATTTGTAAAATGTAATGATAGCAAGTTTATTTTGGGTGGGTAAGGATTAATTGTGATGATAAATATGCAAGGTGGGTAAACCTTCAAAGCTCATCAGGAAGAAAATAATCTTTCTGTCTCTCTTCCCCTCTCTCCCTGTCTTGGCAGGGTTTGGCTCAAAGCAGATGCTTGAGACTAGTCCCATTTTCTTCCTCTCTTCTCTGTGGAAACAGAGTCCTTCTCCTCCTCCTCTTTCCTATGTTTCTGAACTTTACACCAAATCTCCTGAGTTCAGTAGCTGTTCAGACATTGAGTGCAAAGATGTCCCATATGCTTATGATTAGGCTCTTCTAGCATCCTTGCCTGCTTACACTCTTCATTGAGTAATGAGAAACTACTTACAGTCTTCTAACCACATTGCATTTCATTCTACCTTGGTGTTTACTCCTGCCCTTCTTCTTATACACTTGAAATTCCCATCCATTTTTATCTAGTACACCCTCTCCCTCCATGAGATTTCTAAGTTTGGCTTATATTTTAAAACATAAGTAAAGTTACCTCTTCTGGAAAGCTTCTCTTATTCTTCTAATCTGAGTAGATTTGTCTCTCTTTACTTCCATTTTATTTTGTGCATAAACCTATTTTAGGAGTTCACATGCCTTCTACAATTTATGTCTCTACCTTGACTATACATTTCTATATGTTGATCATTTGTATATTTAGTGCTTGGGTAAGTGTATTAAACATAATGAGGGCTGAATAATTTTTGTTGCATTAAAATGGTTCAATAAATTAATATCTGCTGAAGAGATACTTTTTAAATCAGTCAATGGAATTCATTTAATTCAGGTGAGAGTGTGAAATAACCTGGTGGAATGGTGTTTAGGAGGGTTTATTATCAATAATATTACAAAAGTAAAGGAAACATGAGACTTGTGGTCTTTAAATAATTTATGTTCCATGTGTTTGGAGAAACATAACCAAAATGCATTTAGAAGTAAGGGGAATTATAAAACAAGAAATTTGTCAGACTCACCATTCATCTGTACACTAACTCAATAAGCAATTAGTGCATCTTTAATAGTAACATTATATAAGGATCTGTTTTTATGGTGATGATCAAAATAAAATGAACTTTATTGTCATATAATTATAGTCCAGTTAGGAAGACAGAAATTCATCCAATAACCATCCAAATATAAATTTACAAGCTGAGGCACTTGACAGTGCATAAAGGGGAATATGAAAAAAATAATGAGGCACCTGGTGTGTTCCTTCTCATTTTCGTGTTCTGACAAATGTTTTGTTAATAATTTCATATTTTTTAAAAAATCAAATGTTAAGTTATTTACATTAAATGGAGATTTACTTGTTCTGAAAAATAAAAAAAAAGATAATCTTTACTATTGTATCTTCTTTCAGGTGAGAATATCTCTGTGAGCTACACTTATGGCAATGAAAATAAAACATTTACTGCAAAATTGATTGTTCATGGTAAAGATAAATGTAAACCTGAGTGTGAAAACAAAACAATCAGTAACCTAACAGCATGCGAGAACTTCACTGTAAATTTTACTTCATGTCCTGATTCACCTAAGACATTCACAGCACCATCAGGTCAGTAGGAATTGATTTCTAATTGTGTATTTACAAAAACAGTGCAGTGTTGCATATGTTGCCTTACAGAGTCATAGGACTCAGTCCATTGGGTGAATAAGGCTGAGGAAAGAAAGTCAGCACCTTGGGAGTAGGTGACCTTTCTAGTCCCCTGACCTAAGAAAATTACAGACTCATATAAGCTTTATGACTAATTACTTCCCTTCACTTTTTTTCAAAGTGGCTCATGCAGATTAGATGTAATTTATCCCACTGATTACCAGCAAGCTTTCATTTTTCTCCTCAATGTAATTTAAGTCATTAAATAAATGTATGCACATATGAGTCCTGTAAAATACAGGTGTATCTGGGATATATTGGGGAAAAACACAGTCAAGAACTTGATGATTGTGGAAGAACGAAAATACTTTCACAAAAGAAGGAATATTACAGTCATTAAGGTGATAAAGCAGGTTTGGCCAGGTTAGGAAAGAGAAGGGCTAAAGAATATGAAAGCAGAATTTGCTCTGGAAAGGGGATTCAGGGACCATGTGATTTGGTTGAATATCTTACATCATTTAATAATTCAAAATTACTGATGCATTAACATTTAAATAGTTTTTTTAAAAATATTATCTATTCATTTTCTCTAAATATTACTGAAATAAATTACCCATGGAAAAGAGAAGATGATAATGAATTAAAAAATGCATTCCCAAAAAGGAAGCCCTTGTACTGCTCTTGGTATAATAGTCATTCAGTGAATGATCATGGAATAAATGAAAATAACTAACAACACAAATAAGAAAATGAACTGGAATGAGTGTTTAAAAATGTGCAAACTTTATAATTTTATCTAAATGTTTGCTAGGTTTTCATTTTTTAAAAAGTAACAAATTCTAAATGAAAAGCTGCCAAATGCATTATGTGAAAAAAGAGTAAACTAAATAATCAAGAAATAAGCTTTAAGTTATTAAACTTTTCAAATGTAATCCAAATGTGCTTACCAAGGAAGATATAATTGTGTGTGATTTCATTGACTATAACTGGACTTATAACACATATGAAATATTAGTCATCTATTTCTATATCTTCTTGACAGTGTTTTTCTTGGAAAATTGCACACAGCCTGAAACAGCAAATACTTCTATTTGTTTAAATTGGACTTCAACTGATAACTGTAAAGAAAATATTATGTACACATTTCACTGTGGTAAGAATATGGCATTAAACCAATAATTTTTCTGTGATAGGAAGTTGTTTTAGATATTATGCAATGTTTCCATCCTTCTCTTGTCCCACCTTCCCTACCCTCCTTTTTTCCTTCCATTTCTTTTCTCTCTCTCTCCCTTTCTCTCCCTCTCCTTCCCTCTCCCTCTCCCCCTCTTTCTCCCTCTCTCTCTTTTCTTCTCCCTTCCCCTTGTGTGTCTCTCTTATTTATTCTGCGGTATGTTTGGACTCAAACCATTGTATTCTTTATAGGACTCAAATTCACAAATTAGACAGACTGCCCCTAAAAAGAAGTAATAAAGATCAATTCATTTACAAGGTTTTTCTTGGCAACTGTTATTTACAAGCTACCATTGAAGAGATTATCAAAAGAGAGTGCATAAAACATTACATTATACGTATTGTTGGAATGAAGCAAAAGCAAACATAAGATCATCTGATTCAAGAGTTCGCTTGGGGCCTCCCCTGGTGGCACAGGTGGTTGAGCGCTGCGCTATGAAGCTGTCCGCAGCCTCTGCAGCGCCAGTTCAATCCCGGCCAGCTGGCCGGCGAGGGTCCCACATGGCACAGCAGACCTGTCCTGTCTTGCCTGCTGCTCCCCTCAGCAGTGTATTTCCTCAGTCTGCCTGTTCTGCTCCCCGCTCTGTCTCTGGTGAATCCTCTCACCCTCCCGCACATCTGGCCTGTATCCCGGTTCTCGTATAAATAAATAAATAAATCTTTAAAAAAATGTATTAAAGAAAAAGTTTGCTTGGTTAGCTCTCCATCAACAAAATTCCTAAACAATTTCAAGAATGCTTAGGTGAAAAGGGAAGTGGGAAAGAAATGTAAGTTCTTCTAGAACTATGATTTTGGGTTCAGTTTTGAGTGGGAATAATGGAGGTAGTATTTCTATTTATTTATTTATTTTTAATTTCTTTTTATTTAAATTTATTGAGATGTAATCTCCTTTACTTGCCCTGAATTAACCTGCTAGGTCACATTTGGCAAATAGCCACAGACACTCATTCACGCACAGCGGATGGACTGTGACATGGTTGTGATCATGTTACAAGCAAGATGCATGGCTATGATATATGCAATATAAAGAAAGTGATAATACATGGCAAGCAGATAAGAAAACAGTGCTGAATCTAAAATATCTACTATCTCAGATGCAATCTCAGTTTCTGAACAGAAAACAATGAACTAATGCCTCATTCCATCAGTTAAATCAGAGATACTCAAGTTCACTTATACTTCCTAATATTTTGTTTAAAACTAATTGCAGCAAAATAATGCATTATTGTAGGTGTTTTCAGGATATTTACTTATTATTTTGACTATTTGCATAAATTTTCAACATGATAGATAATATGTGATTACAGATACAAATATAAAAAGAAAGTGTGATATGGTATGTTAATATACTTAATATGTGATACTTCTTTCTTTCAGGTAACTCTACTGGATCTAATATGACCCTACTTAATGAATCTCATGATAATTCAAGACTATTTGAAAAGCTTGAACCAGAAACTAATTATAATTGTGTTTCACAAGTACTTTATAATCACCAGCTGCTTTTTGAAAAAAATATTACAATTTTAACAGATATTGGAAGTGAGTATTTTACTTACATGTAATATGTAAAACTTCTATTCTTATTATATTTTTATGAATTTTTGAGAATCAGAAAATGATGCTGTAGATTTGGGGAAAGTGTTTCAGAAAATGAATTAATTTGTCAGACTCTTTAAAGTAGAATTTAGAAATAAATAAGAGAGCATCCAAACTTCCATCAAGCCTTTTTTGTTTGTTTGTTTTGCAAAGTATGGGCTGTAGTGAGGTTGTGGCAGAAACAAACTGAGCAGTAAGTGAAATGTTTTGTGTATTCATTCCCAATTTCACTTCCCCATTCTTTCTGCAGAATCATTCCCTTCTTGGTGTGCTCCTACACCCTCTGCCTGTCCATCAAATCCCACTGTTATTAGGCATAGAGTGAGCACATACACTAATAAAACAGAGGCAGATTTAAGTGTGAAAAATATATGTAATAACCAAAGATGGCAAATAGGTATATAAAAAAGATGCTCCACATCATATGTTATTAGGGAAATTAAAAAACAACAGTGAGTTACCACTACACACCTATTAGAATGGCTAGAATCTGGAGCACTGACAACAAACACCAAATGGTGGTGAGGATGTGGATCAACTGGATTTTTCATATATTCCTGGTAAGAATGAAAAATGGTGCAACCACTTTGGAAGGCATTTTGATAGTGTCTACACAATTAAACATAGTCTTCCACACTATTTGGTGTTTACTTAATGGGTGAACACATATTGACACATCAACCAACGCATGAAAGTTTATGGCAACTTTGTTCATAATTGTCAAAACTTGGAAGCAACAGAGAAGTCCTTCAGACTAAGTAAACAGTGGTAAAACCAAGAAATGGAATAATAATTAGCACTTAAAAGAAATGAACTATCAAGTTATGAAAATATATGGAGGAGACTTAAATACATTTTATTAGTGAATAAAAGCCAATCTGAAAAGGCTACAGATGTATGATTCCAACCCTAATACATTCTAGAAAAGGCAAAACTCTGTTGACAGTGAAAAGATTTGTGATTGTCAGTGGTTAGGGGGCGAGGGAAGGATTTTTAGGGCAGTGAAAATACTCTATATGGTCTCAGAATAATGGATATGTGTCATAAAACACATTTAGCCAAACACATAGAATGTACAATACTAAGAGTAAACCCCAATGTAAACTACAGGTTCTGGGTGATTTGTCAAGGCAGGTTCATCATCAGTAACATATGTATGAACTCAGAGGAGAGGTGTTTGTAATGGATGGTATGTGTGTGGGGGGCAGAGAAGCTATAAATGCTCTAAAAAATAAAATCATTATTTTAAAAATTATTGAGCCAGATTTATCACAGTAATGCAGAAACCCCTCAACCTGAAAAAATAGCAATTTAACCATGTTACATATTGTTTCATTCTGGGAAGAAGGGGTATTTTTGTAGAATAATTGCAAAGAAGCCATGTTCTTAAAGAAAAAAAAAAACTTTGTTTATTGACCTATTATATGATTCACCCATTTAACATTTTCAGTTCTATGGTTGTTCTACAACCATCACCAGAATCAATTTTCAGAATGTTTTTATCAGAGCATAGAGAAGCCCCATATCTATAGACAGTCTGTGATCATTTCCCTCCTACCTCCATCCTTAGCTAGTAACCAATCTTTTGGTGCTTTGATGCTTTTCTGCTTTGGTGAGTTTGCTGATTCAGGACATTTCACATAAATGGAATCACATGATATGTTTTATTTTGTGACTGGCTTCTTTCACTCAGCATAATGTTTTCTAGTGCAGCCATGTTATATCAATACATCAGGTTTTTTTTTTAATTGCCTAATAATATTCCATTGTATAAATATAATTTATTTTGTTTGTTTCTTCATCAACTGAGTAATATTTAGGTTATTTTCACCTCTTGGCTGTTGTGAATAGTGCTATGAACATGCATGCGCAAGATTGTGTATAAACACGTTTTAATTTCTCTTGTGCTTGGAATTTTGAGGTGAGATGGCTGCTTCATATTTTGCATGTTGCAGAACTGCCAGTCCAAAATGACTGTTTCATCTTTCATTCCCACCAGCAGTGAATGAGGGTTCTCATTTCTACACATCTTCAACAACATTCCCTAACGGCCTAACTTTTTTACTTCAGCCATCCCAGTGGGTATGAAGTAGTATTTCATTGTGATTGGGATTAATGACAAATGATTTAGTGGCCATTTGCCTATCATTTATCTATTCAAATTATTCCACCCTAATTTACTCTTATTTATTTTTCCCCACCTTTCATTTATTTTGTTATTGAGGTGACACTGGTTTACAATACTGAATAAGATTCAGAGATAAACATAATTCAAAGTATGTTACCATGCCAGACCTACCACTAAGGCACCCATAGTCCTCAAATTCTATGCCCAGTTTTCAACTGGGTTTTTTTTATTGAGTTATAAGACATTTTTATATATACTAAACACAAGTCTCTTATCAAATGCATGATTTACAAATACCCCTTCTCCTAGTCTATGTGTTATCTTTTTATTTCATTGAAAGCTTTTGAAGCTTATACATTTTCCATTTTGATGAGGTCTAATCTCTAAATTTTCCTTTTTTCATCATGCTTTTGGTGCCACATTTAAAAACCCATGCAGATTTATCCTTACGCACAGATTTTTACCTACATTTCCCACTGTAACATTTATAGCTTATGTTCTTAAATTAAGCCCTTTAAATCAATTTTGAGCCTGTATTTCTACATGATATCAGGTAAGGGCCTGATTTTATTCTTTTGTTGTAGCTATCCAGTTGTCCTAGAACCATTTGCTGAAAAAACTATTCCTATCCCATTGAATATTCTTGTATTCTTGCTACCCATATCAAAAATTAAGTGATCATAACGATGGGCTTATTTCTGAATTCAGTTGTATTCCATTGATTTAATGTCTATCTTACAACAGTACAACATTTTTGATTAGCTGTAGTTTTGTATAAGATTTCAAAGCAGAAAGTGAATACCTCAACTATATTCTACGTCAAGATCATTTTGGGTATCAAATTTCCCTCAAAATCCCATGTATATTTTAGAATCAGCTTGTCAATTTCTATAAAGAAGCCAGCTAAAATTCTGATAAGGGGTCTTTTGGATATGTAGATCAATTTAGGGAATAGTGCCTTAACAGTGTTAGTCTTCCAATCTGTAAATATGGGGTATCTTTTCATTAATTTAATTTAATTCCTTTAATTAAAAAAAAAATATGTCAGTTTTCAGTACACAAGTCTTGCACTTGCTTCAATTTATTTTTAGGTTTAAATTTATTCCTGATTTTAATGGTAATGTCTTTAAAATTTTATTTGCTGTTTATTACTAATATGTGGACATGCAGCTGATTTTTCTGTATTGATCTTGTAGTCTGCCACATTGAATAATTTGTTTACTAATTATAATGTTACTGATTTTTGATTGACTATACTGAAGTGATTCTAAATTTCATATAGAAGGGATACCAGAAAATAAGGGAGCTGTCTAAATCCATGCCTCTCAATAACTCTCTAAAGCAAATCAAAACCACACACAAAAAAACACATGTCCTCAGCATAACTAAAATTTAATATTATGGATTAAAATCTTTATAAGTGAAAGTAACAAAATAGAAATTCCATAAAAAATATATTTTAATTATTATGAAAGTGTAAAGGCAATGCAATGGGTCAAAGGATAGGTTTTTTCCAATGAATGATCAAGTTTGCCCTATAGAAATTACCCCTGATCTCTCAACAAACATAAAATTTAACTCAAAATGGATTGCATTTTACTAAGAACTAAAACTGAAATTCTGAAATCTCTAGCTAAAGACATTAGAGAAAATCTTCACAAGTGTAATGTAAAGATTCTATAATAGGACACAATGAAAAAATAATAAAATTAAATAATTTATAAATTGAACTTCGTCAAAATTGAACTTTCCTCATCTTTGAAAAAGCCATAAAGGAAGTAAAACCTCATCAGCCATTGTAAAAAAAAAATCCATAATTCATTTTTTCAACAAAGGAGGTTTTCTGAAATATGTAGAGAACTCTTCCAACTGCAAAGTAAAACATCAAGTAACCCAATTAAAATGGGCAAGCATTGTGGATATATGCCTCACAAAATAAAATATGCAAACAGAAAATACACACACAAAAACATGCTCACTATCATTAGTCATCTGAGAAAGGCAAATTAAAACAAGGAGATAATAATGACATGCACACTCACTGAAAGGGTTAAAATGAAAAAGAATGAAAATACTACTAGTAAAGTAACAACCTAGATATTTCATTCTAGAGGAAAAGTATATCTACACAAAGCCTTCTACACAAATATTTATAGACATACACATATAACAGCCAAATCCCAGAAACAACCCCCAAATCATTTAGTAGTTGAATTAAAGGATAATATGTAGTATGTCCTTACAATGGAATATTACTTGCAAGTAAAAAAGAACTAATTACCGAAACATGCAACAGTATGTATCTCTGTTACATTATATTGAGTGTGATATGCTAGACATAAAAAATACTTGCTCTTTGTTTTGTATCTCTGTGAAATGAATGAACAGACAAATTTAATGTGTAATAACAGAAAGCCATTCAGAAGATGCTTACAGTTGGGCAGGAGGACTGAGTTTACTGGACTAGGAATGAAAGGACTTTCGGGGGATGACAGAAATGTCCTATAGCTTGCTTGTGGTTATACTCTGTAGATGCAACATTTGTCAAAACTCATAAACTATACTTCAAATGGGTATGTTTTGATGTATATTATACCTTGTAAAGTTGATTTAAGCATTTATTACATACTTTATCTTAATTTCAAAAGACTAGTTACTTGACACAATGACAAGTGTCACTCCAAATGATGACTATTAGATTTATGAGTGCTACCAATGACAGATTATTAGTATAGAGAAGCATCCCAAGATAGTTGGATAATAATATATTGGAGAGGGTGAGGGGATTCTCAGGTAACTTCAAGTCAGTGGCATGCTTAGCTTCTACAGTGCCACTCTGCAGTTACATTTATTCTGTTAATTGATCTCTTGGAATAGGTCCAAATGTGATTCTTTTAATGTCATTGTTAATTTATAATTAATCATACATAATTAATTGTAATTAATAAATATGGTTTATTAATAATGTATGTTTATAGCATAAGAATGTTTTTTTTTAATTTCTTATTTTTCACATTTTTGTTCTTATTTTTTCAACAGTCCCAGACCCGCCTAAGAATCTTACTTGTGAATCTGAAGGTAAACGTGGAAGACGGATTACCTGGATCAAACCTGACAAAAATGTTCATAAGTTTTATCTTCATTATAAGAATAGCACAGGTAATTCTCATATATTTCCATATTAGAAAAGAAAAATGAAGAATTGGAAAAATATTAGAAATGTGGGCTAGTGAGCTAGTGAGTCAGGAGCTCCCTGCTGAGTGACTGCCTTGGGCATCCTAGTGAGTCAGGAGCTCCCTGCTGAGTGACTGCGTTGGGCATCCTCTGTGCTTTGATTTTAGAACTGTTGAAAATCAGTTTTGCACACCATGGACTCTTGATACTCTGAAATGACTATAGACTAGAATACTCCAATATTTGCTTGTCTTTAATGATCTGTTTTGTTCAAACTTTTGCACTCCAAACCTGGAGAAAGAAAATCTCTTAAAAATACTGTTCATTACTGTCTTTCAGTAATGAGTAACTCCAGTGAGTTGCACTGGTTTGACATCATCATTCTGACCCATAAGCATACATCTTACAATGCTTGCTCTGGTTGTTATGTGCAAAATATTGGATGAATGAGAATAGCATATATACCTTTAGCCCTAAAGGCCATTTGGATTAGACTTCCCCAAAAGTAAATATAGTCCAAAATTTTGTGAAAACAAGTTCAACCATGAGTCCCCAAATGGGAAACTAAATAAGAGAGCAGACATTGTCTGGGTAACTTAAGCATCTAAATGCTTAAGTTAGGGATAGTAGGGATATCAGTGGATAGTAGGGAGCATCAATGGACCATCCTAGAGCAACCTCAGCACCTGGAATAACCCACATGCTAGAAAGGACTGAGCTGAACATTTCACAGGCTGCCATCTCTTTCTTTGGTGGGAAAGAGTTAGATATAAATTTCCCTCTGTGAAAGTTGAACATAACATACATATTCTGCATGTTATTTTATATTTTGATGACTTTTTTTTGGTGGTTTGAATCACAATAAATTAATAAATCAAAGTTAAATATACATGTAGTTTTCAAATTAGCATAAGAGAAATCAAATGCTATGCAGAAGCATGCCATGTATTTGAGGTCAGTTTAAAAAGTTAGAGATAGGAGACTTCCTGGTGGCGCAGGGGTTAAAGACAACACTATCAAGCTATCTCCAGTCACTGCAGCACGAGTTCGACCACCAGCCAAGGAGTTGACCCACATGGCACAGCAGACCTCTCTTGTCTCGACCGCTGCTCCCCTCAGCAGTGTATTTCATTCGATCCGCCTGTTCTGCTCCCCACTCTGTCCCTGGTGAATCCTCTCAACCCCTGCACCTCTGGCCTACACTCCAATCCTTGTATGCATAAATAAATAAATCTTTAACAAAAATTAAAAAGTTAGATATATGAGAAAGGAAATGTGGGGAATTACAGGAAGATAAAGTACCAAAACATCAGGTGTCTCTGTCTCATTGGATACCTAACAGAGAAACACCCTTTGCTTGGTTTCTGTATTGACACACATTGTTTTTCTTTCTCTTCTTTTGCTGTCTTCCACCATTCTATTTTATTTCTAGAAGAACTGGGGTGTAGGCCAGAGGTGTTGGGGCAGGTAAGAGGATTAATCAGAGACAGAGTGGGGAGCAGATCAGAGGGATCTACTGAAGTACACTGCTGAGGGGAGCAGCAGTCAAGACAGGAGAGGTCTGCTGGGCCCTATTTGGGTTAGCTCCCTGCCTGGGGATCGAACTCATGTTGTCGTGGTGATAGCATTGAGACTTAACCCCTAGGCCACCAGGGAGACCCCCCGCTACAGAGTATTTTGTATGAAAATGTATATGGTAGAAATTTGTAGAGCAGTGTTTATTTTTCCTTGTATTCTTCATAGCTATTTTAATTAATTAATTAATTAATGGTAACACTGGTTTACATTATTGTTTGTGTATTAGAAGTGTAGTATATATCTCCTCAGGACTTGTTGACCACACATACCCATCAGCAAGAAACCCATTGTCCACCACCATCATCCATTGTGCTCCCTGACAACTTGCTCTCATTCCTCCCCGTCCCACTCCCCTCCTGGTAGCCATCCTCTCTGGAAAGCTATATCAGCTTTCTAGGTCAATATAGTTTTTCAAAGCTATTTGCATATTTTGTCTAAGAAGAATATGTTAGTTATTAGCATGTTTTCTTTTGCTTTTTTTAACAGTACAACTCCTTATTTAGTGCTACCCAAATTTATGGCTATCAAATATAATACTTGAGAGAGAAGGGGGAGCTGGACAATGTCAGGTTATGTGAGTCTTTTTCTCACATACTGTTCATTGGTAACTGAATCTATCCTCCATTCTACATCATGCACTGACTCTGCTTAAAGGAACCTTTGGAAGCTGACCACACACAGTCTTTTCTCTCTCTTTAAAGCAATAAAAAATCAACTACTCTAGAGAAAAGTGTGCTCTGCTTTTATTCATCATTTTCTCAAACATAGGCCATAATGAGATCTTTCCATTTTATATAAATCAGAGGGAGTTGAGAGGATTATAGCATTGTTAAAGTCTTTTAACTACCTTCATTATTCAAAATAAAATCACAATTTAAAATTCACAGGAACAAACTCTTAAATTATCACTGCAATTTATATTACTTTAATTATATGTTAAACTTCATCTCATTATTTCATAATTGTTTCAGTTTCTCTGAAAGATAGGGAATAAAAGTGGAGGAAAGTTAATTGGCATTTATTCAGTTTCCTGTCTTCTTGGGTGTTTTTATAATATTTAAAAATTTTGTTAAATATTTTAATAATGCTCGTGAAAGGAGATAAATGAATATTTTTATAGCTCCTAAGATGCAGCTGAGAATCACAAAACTTAAATGTTCAAATTCAATAGCCTGAACAGCACTCTTTTTGCATGTTTCTAGCATGAGTTATCGTGGAGAACTGCAGTGCTGTGATCACTATAATAATGACAGATGACAGTGAACATTCCTCAATAATGGGGCAGAGACTGCTTTGCTTTGCTACATTCAAAGGTCCACTTTTCAAATGTTTTTGAATCCAGTGTGGCACTCTTCAAGATTGTGATGATTGATGAAATTTGTTTTGTGTAATACCTTTTAATATAAGAGAAAACATACCATTTTTGCCATCACAAAATCTTTTGGAGGTGAATGGCATAGCATTCAAGCAGATACATGAGAGTAGTACAAATTAAGAAGTTAATGGATTTCCTGAAACATTTTCTAAAAAAAAAAAAAAAAAAAGGTGACATGTGGCATTCAGTGTACTTCTGACCATTTCCAGCCCTATAGGCATATTCCTGTTACCCTGGAGAAACAATTCTCAACACTAAGCCTATTAAGTCCTTAACTTGTCCCCTATAACTTGTGTTTTTAATGTCAGCATCCTGAGGTTCAAACACACAGAGGAGGCAAAGATGTTCATAGAAAGTATTTGAGCCTTTCAACCAAAGCTTGAAACCATCGGCCATCAGAAATAAGCATTCTGAACCACCTTTCTAAGAGCTGAGAATTTTAACCCCCAAACAATCAAATCTTTTAAACAATGCATTGTTCAAAATTAATAAGCATTCAAATTTTGTCAAAACTGAAACAAAACTTTATGGAACTACATAATTGAAATGTGTTTTCATCCAGAATGATTGTGAGGTTATATATACAAACATACAAAATTAGTCAATGAATGGAAGTCAGTTTGATTTTACAAATGATATATTGACACTTGGGATTGTAGCTGAGTAAGAACTGGGGCAATGCCCAGTGTCAGATCCCATGTAAGGAGCCATGAGTCAGATGTCCCTCTCTTAAGCTCACCTTTGCTGTCCTGAGAGAAAATTTGCATTAGGGCAGAACTGAGCTTGTAGGTTAATGACAACTAACCCCAGTTTGGAGGATTTCTGAAAAGTAGACACTTAAGCATGCTAGAATAGACATTTCACCTCACTCACTTTTGAGCATCTCAAGGTGAGCTACAGATAATACAGTAACCTTCATTTTGAGACAAGTAACTGAGACAAGAAATTAGCATGCTAGGTCTTTTCATACACTGTTTCTGAAATTTCAGAGGTGCATCTGGCTGAACCAGATAGAGAACTGAAGTGTTCATGATTTAGGAAAAGCTGGGCCCCATTGTAGACATTGTCCCTCCTTCTAATCAGGGTATGCACAGTGGTGAAGATGAACACAGACTCTGGAACCTCAGTGCTTGGATCCCATCCTGGCTGTGTTTCATTTCCCCTGAGATCATGAGCAGATTAATCAGTCAGTGTCTCTGTGGCTGCTCTCTCAACTGTTAAACTGAATGATATCAAGAATGCCAGCCAATAGGATGGTAGTGATAATTAGTTAATTCATGTATACCACTAAAAGCAGAGCTTGGCACATAGAGTGATTTATTTGTTGTATTAATCATTATTGGTGTTACATTATTGGTGGTTATACATTTATATAATCATTATTGGTGTTACATAATTGGTGTTACGTTATCATTACCATCATCATCCGTCATCATCACTGAAACTGCTACCCAGTGACATGCTGTCACACTTAGCTTCCTGAACCTCTCTTTGTTGAAATCACTTGAATACTCAAAAATTGTCTATGACTATTGATTTTTTAATTTAATTGCTAACTCTTCTGCCTGAATGTTAAAATGTTTTTAAACAAGATCTGACTTCTCATATGCCTTCCCAGTTAAAATCTGCTATCCCATTCAGGCCTGTCCCTCAACTTGAAGTGCTCCTTTTTCATATGTAATGTTTTCTTTTCTCCCTTTCTCCTATTCAGTCTCACGCATCTTTCAGTGAACCGCTCAGATTCCTCTGCCAAATTGTATTTCCCTCATTCTCACTGCCCCCATGAATTAAATTGTATGATGGAGTAGACAGAGTTACTGGTGATCAAATGGATTCTTCACCTGAAGTCCTTTTCTCAGAAAGAGAAGAAACCATCTTCACAAATGTGCCTTAATTTAATAAAATATTATGTGTACCAAATTAATTATATGAAATACAGTTCAAAATAGTTGAATATTTCATTTATAATATTGCATTTTTTCAACACATTTGTTGATAATTGTGTGGATGTACATTTGAGTACCAGAAATATGTATTTCTCAATCACTCAGGTTGGAGTAGACTTGGAATGATTTCATGTAGAGAACAGATTAAAAATGTGGTAATTCTGACTTTTTAAAAAATATTTATTTGTATTTATGCATACAAGAACTAGGGTGTAGGTCAGAGGTACAGGAGATGAGAGGACTCACCAAAGACAGAGTGGGGAACAGAACAGGAAGACTGACTGAAATACTCTGCTGAGGGGAGCAGCGGGCAAGTCAGGAGAGGTCTGCTGTGTCATGTGGGTAGCACCCTGGTAGGAGTTCAAACTCATGCTGAAGTGCCTGACAATAGCTTGATAGTGCTGAGACTTTAACCCTGTGCCACCAGGAAAGTCCCTAATTCTGACTTTCAATGAGTATTTTATTTTTTTTCCAAGATGAAGAGAACTATGATATTCCAGCTAAAGAAAATGAGAAGTATTTGGAGAGACTGAAACCTTACACAAACTATACTGTATCAATCCATGCCAGCACCAACGGAAAAGTGCAACGTAATGGAACTGCAACCACGTGTAAATTTCGAACAAACCCTTCAGGTAAGTTATATGCTTTAGTGCTTCTATGAATCACCAGGCCACATATGAACATTTTAGCACACAATACATCTACCTTTATGCTTCATTTGGGAGATACATTGACTTGGTGCATTTGATAAAATCTAGGATTTATACTAGCTTAATATACAATAATTTAAAAATTGTTGTCATGTTCTCTGTATCCTTCAGATATCATGAGAACAAAGCATGAGGTCTTATTAACTGGTACAATATTTAAGATTTCAGGCAATTAAGTGTGCAATCTACTTTGATAAAAATGTAATGTCTGTGGTTTTCCTTGTAATCTAGAAATATTAACAGCACTCAGACACCTAATAATGTTTCAGTCACTGAGCATTCACTTGCTAACCTCTACTCAACTCACAAAACATAATTATTTCCTTAGCATTTTCTTTTCTGTTACATTCAACTACCTGCGCTTTTATTTAATGTCACATTTTCCCTTCAAGCTTCCCTTTCAGTGGCTCTTGCCACCAGCATGGTATCTCCACAGTTTCCAGACCCAAAGATAGATCTGCCTCTGAAGTGAACATGACTCCAAGGGGTCAGCAAAGAGAAATGCCTGTTTACAAGGCAGCAGCTCCAGACCCTACAGACATCAGGTGCATGAGGAAAAACTGTCTTCTTAAAGGACTGACAGAAAATGCTCCTTCTGTCATTAGGTTCTGGTTTAGAAAGTCCAGATCCTCAAACTTTATGACTTTGTTATTTTCCTGATTTCTGTGATAACACAGAAAAGAATTTGTGGCTGCTCCTGCAGAACCCAGTCAGATAGGTTTTTATCAGGATAATGGAAGCACTTCCAGAAGGGAGGACCTGCATTGCACATAGGCCTTGGGTCAGTCCCCTGCTCTTTCCTTCCTGCTTCTCCTTTGCCCCTCTTGACTCCAGTCTTTCTCTTCTCTAATTCTACACCCTCTTTGGGAGATTGCAAAACCCTCATGGCTTCAAGAATGGAGTCCACGTGGCTATTCTCTACATGAACAATTTGCTTTTTGGAGGTTTCATTGCAGCTTTTTCTTGTATGTTCTATTGTCATTTCCTGTTGTATGCATATTAGGGGAAGTCATTTAAATATGCATTTACCAAATGATAAGAGTAAAGCATCTTTCTTAAATTCTTAATAGAGCCTGGTGAGGTTGAAGGATTGAAAGTTGCTTCAACTTCAGACAATAGCATGAATGTGATTTGTAAGCCGCCTAAAGAACTTAACGGTCCAAAAGGCTGTTATCATTTGATAGTCAAAGGAGGTCATGATATGCGAACTACTAACAGCAAAGACTGCAACTTCAGTGTAAAAGACCTTCATTATTTAACAGAGTACACTTTTGAGGTAAGATGATAATTTCTATAATCCCTATAGTACTGCTGTAGATTATACAGATTATTATGTAGTACTAAAATAATACTCAGACCAGTACTCACATGAACTTGAGAAATTCTTGATGTCAAATGGAATCATATTTTAAAGTCTTCAAAATTTGACTCCAAACTTTTCCTCCTTAGGACTAAATACAGTGGTCTAAAGCAAATGTTTTGTTGGAGTGTTTTTGACCTTTGAGATGATTTACTTATAGCTGAATTTAGCTCTTGTGTCAGGAAGCACATTTAATGCACAATGGTTTTTTACTTTGCCAAATACTTGACTTATCTTGATAGTTTATCTTTACTAATGTGACTTTTTAGAATTACAAACATTTGTACAAATACATTGAGGCTAGACATAAATATTAGGAAATACCAGAAAATCTAGAGAATTAAGAAAACTCACCCACTGTCTACTCACCACATTTTGTGTTTATTTCTGGAAAAAAAAAAAAAGCCCTCAGTTTTTCCTGCCTATTCCTTCAGTTCTTCTCTGTGAGTTTCCTTACTATTTACGTAAAGTTTTTCATGCCTGATTCTTCTGTTCACCAAATGTGTGGGGAATTTACCCCAACCAAGCAATTCTCATGATACCAGCTGGGTGTCAACTTCTGGCACCATACCTGGAGATATAGTGTCAGATCCTGAAAGTTAAGGACTCAATCTCACAAGGCAGCTCCTGTCCCACTTCGGATATCAATTACAAATCCCTACTTCACCTGTAACTTCTGTCCAACTTGGCCATGAATTAGAGATTTCCATGGCTCCCTCACTAGGTTCACCTAATTTCCTAGGGAAGCTCACAGAACTCAGGAAATATGTATCCCAGGCTATTAAAAAATTAGAATGAAAGAAACTAATGAACAGCCATTTGAAGAGGTACATAGGATGGGATCTGGGAGCAGAACTTCTTTTTCTGTGAAACTGGGGCACATTACCCTCCCAGTATGCAGGTTTTGGCCCACCTGGGAGCTCTCCAAAATGCACAGTTAAAAGATTTTATGGAGGGCTCATCACATAGGCTTGTAAAGATTGATTATTAACTCTTCTTTTCATTTTGTCTGCCTCCTCAAAAGAATGGAGGGCAGGTTGAAAATGCCAAGCTTCCAGTCATGAGAGTCTTTCTGGTGATTTTTCCTCAACCAGAAGACCACCTGGAGTCACCTTATTAGAAGAAAGTAATTTCCGTCACCCAGGAAATTTCAAGGGTTTTTAGGAGCTCTGTGCCATGAAATGGGGATAGAGGCCAATGGATAGTTTCCATTACCTCACAACTTCTATAATATGTAATGCACTTTTATATACATATTCAACATATACAATCAACATTGTGAATACAGTTTGATAAACTGCATTTTTTGTATATCACCATATCATGAGCATTTTCCATGTTAGATAATCTGCTACTATGTAAATTTTTATGGTTGCATGGTGTTCTATGCTATGGCTTTATCACATCCAACTAACTATACCGGTTTTGGTTTCTGTCACAAACATCATTAAGCATACTTTCATTAAACAGCAAAATCTTTTATTATGTCTTTCATCATTTCTGTATGAATAAATTACTGAAAATGAATATATTGTACCAACAAGAACTTACAGTTTTTTATTCCAATGAAAGTTACAGAATTACATTTTCCATCACATTGCATGAAATGACTACTTTTGAAAGAATCACCAACATTGTCGTCTTTGGTGTTTAGGTGAAAGTGGTATTGACATCTCTCTTTTTTTTAATCATCTTTTTCATCTTTTTGTTTTAATGGGATTTCTTTAATTACTGTTGAGGATAAATACTATAGTTTTGTTGTTCTTTGGTGGTGGTGATTATTGTTATAATTACTATTATTATTAAATGAGCTAAGATTTATTTATACCTTTTTCAATGTTAAATGTTTTATTTTAAAAATTATTTTACAACAAAATACTAGCATAACCTTGAAGTTTCACCTTTAGATTAAAACTACTCAGTATAGTTTTAATGAAAATAAACAACATTGTATGAGAATAAAGTTAGTGTTTATTATGATATATAAATTTCCATTAGAAAACTATTTTTTCTTTTATTGCTGAAATTCAGGTCTATTACAACAATACTAAACATCGTGGACCTTCATGTTCTGTATATAAAGAAACATCATGTAAGTCTTTGTTATTTATTACATGTATATTGAAATATGTTAGCATTTTCAAAGTTTTTATTTTTACTCTAATTTAATTACTTGTGTTTAAATTATAAATTTTTCATAAATATAATATTTGAGGTAGTCTGAAAAGAGCATAAGTATGAGAATACTACTTTCTACTACTTTCTAAGGACAATATCTTAAATCCAAATTAGGAGATTTAGTTATTAAAAGATTGCTGGTTTCAATAAATAATTCATAAGTGTTATCTGTATAGACTATTAAATAATGATTATGTTTATGATATTTCTTCATGTTAGAACAATACATATTGCTCTGTGTACTATCTTATTTGTCCCTCAATGGTATGCTTGGCAGAAGCAGACATTAGATATTAATCTGCCCTGATTTATCTCACTGAAGTCAATTTTTTAACCAGGCATAGAATTCTAAGTTTAAAAATCCATAATTCAAGAAGTATTTTTGTATCACTTCCTTGCCTGCACCCTGCTTCTGCTCATGTTCCCTTGTTTTTCCCTTTGGAACTTTCAGTCTTTTCTCTTTATTCTTGGTGTACATGGGTCTGATTTACTTATTTTCCTGGGTAATATTGGCTTTGGTGATCTAAAGTCTTATATCTCTGAAATCTTTTAGTGCTCTCTTTTCTTTCTATTGTCTTTTGGAGCTCCTACTAGTTGTAATTTGCAACTCAAAAGTTTACTTCTTATTTTGACACCCATTTTACTTGTTTAAAGTTTCTTGAGAGTTTAGCTTTTATGACATTTGATCATATTTACAGCAAGGCAACAGGAAAAGTTGATTAGATGTTCTGTCTTTTGTAGAGTGGTTTATTGACTGAGGAGCATAGAATCCCTATGGTATTATTGTTTTCTGCTGTGTCATTCGCTATCTCCAGAAAATAATCAACATACCACTCCTAGTAGTGAGGTAAAATCTGGGGGAGGGGGCAGGAATGGTTCTTCCCATGACAGGTCATGGGGATAGTGCCCAACCATTTTATATACAGATCTTTACTTTTCCTCTTTATTTTATTCCTGGTTTCATCTCTGTTCTGATGTGGTCTGATTTGACCTTGAGTTTCTTACCTCTTCCATTTTATTTTCTCAGAAAAATCACTTTCTCCTTTGGGGGAAATATCTTTTAAGGAGTGCTTGGTTGTTCAACTGCACCATTTTTGGTGCTTTGATTTACTTTCACTGTGTCTGATGCCTCCAAACTTGAGAGTCAGACATCCTGAGTAAGTGGCATCCATCCTTTATGGTGTGCTAGCTTAGTAATGATTTACTTTGTTTTCTACCTTCCAAACCTTGTGAGTTGTCTCTCTAGTTTCTCTTATCCACTCTCTCTGCCATTACAGATCTATGCCACTCTTAGCTTTTTTTTTTTTAGTATTAGAAGAACTCATAGACAGAAGGTAGAAAAACATGTACTTACTGCATGAGATGTAGCTGAATACTTGTTTGTTTTATTGTTACAAGTTTATCCAGGCAAGTCTGAAGTTATTTACTGTTTCTGTAGAGTCAATCTTAATTCATTGATATAGATTGAAAGGTTTACTCATAATCATTTGATGCATTTTCTTGCAAAATCTCAGTTCAGGGTACTCTATTTTGCTAGTAAAAGTCTTTCATTTTAGGGCCTCCCTGGTGGCGCAGTGGTTAAGCACTGGGCTGCGAAGCTGCCCGCAGCTTCTGCAGCACCAGTTGGATTCCCGGCTATCAGCAAGGGTCCCACATGGTGCGCAGACATCTCCTGCCACGCCCACTGCTCCCCTCAGCAGTGTGCTTCGTCAGTCTGCCTGTTCTGTTCCCCGCTCTGGCTCTGGTGAATTCTCTCACCCTCCTGTGCTTCTGACTGTACCCAGTGCTTATATAAAGAAATAAATAAATCTTTAAAAAAAAGTCTTTCATTTTAATAATTTTCTTGAAGGAGACAAGATTAGATGATTGTCTCTCTGATGAGGTTTTATCTATTATTTTTTAATCAACTTTTTTTTTCATAGAGGTTTGTGGGGGTAGTAAGAGGACTAACCAGAGATAGCATGAGTAGCAAAACATGTGAATTTACTGAAATACACTGCTAAAGGAGCAGCAGGTAAGACAGGAGAGGTCTGCTGCACCACATGTGGGTTAGCTCCCTGGCCAGGGATTGAACTCGGACATGTTGGTGATAGCACTGAGACTTTACCTCTAGGCCACCAGGGAGGCCCTCTCTGATGAGGTTTTTATCCACAGATATGGGAACAGATTAATATATGCCACTAATCACTAGTATGGATTGATAATTTTAGTGACAATAATTTGAGATAGAACAAAGAACACTTTGGGTCATTTTAGGAGCCCATTGCAATAAGAACTTCTTCCCTAAAACATTGAATACAATCTATGTATATAATTACATTCATCTACATATTCATCCTTTTATATATCCACAAAAAGTGATTGTTTAATATGTGCTGGTGTTCTCTTTCTAAAGATAGGCATACATGATAGATAGATCAGCTGGTACATCAACACACAAATTCTCACAGTAACCCCTTTACAAGGATAAAATCATTCCCATTTTACAGATTAGGACATTTACTCAGACAATTTAGTCAATGCAGAGAAATCACTGAAGACCCCATATCTTTGGGGGGATTTGGCCAGGGGTCTCATGTAGCTCACAAAGGCCATTCACAGATCCTTTCCAAAAGGGCTCCTCCTTTGTCAGGCCAGCCAGAGAATGTTGGATCCTCTGGTGCTTTGAATCTCTGATCTCCTGCCTTTAAAGGACTCACCATGAGGTCAGCTCACCCAGAGCAATCTCCATAACTTAAAATTTCAACTGATTTGAAACTTTGCTCTTGTCAAATTTAATAATATCTTCTTGGGCTAAGCCAGAAGATAAATTCTCAACTGTATCCAACTTGACTTGACAGTGGTAGTTGATTTTCCTTTTCTCTTTGAAGTGCCTCCTTTTAAATTGAGTACCTGAATACCACACTTGATTTTCTTCCCATTTGCTGGTTCCATCTTTCCTCTTTGAATATAGGATTGTCTCAGGAGTCACTCTTGAGATTTCATTCCTTTCTAATTTTAATTTCCTGATGAATAGTTCAGTCTTAGAGCTTTAAATAATAGCTATACATTGAAGACTATCAAGTTGATGTCCAGTCCCAGAAAGTTTCTCAGAAGATTCATGGTGCAAAAGATTCAGATTTGCATGTTCAATTTCCTCCTTGGTAATTCCTCTTGGGTGTCAATTCTTTCAAACTCTCAGATCCAAAATAGAGCTCTTGTCCTTTCCTCAATCCTGCTTCTCCCAGAGCCTTCATGATCTCCATTAATCAATCCTTCCTGTAACTATTTCTTCCAACTAGAAGAGATAACAAGCTGGTATCAACTTCTGTATCTTTTGCCTGCACTATGGCAGTCTCAACTGTCATAAAAATCTGTTCCTGCCCTACTCAAAAATCCTGCAGTTCTCAAACTTAGCTCAAAAACTAGTGTATCCTTAAAATAAGAGCCTTACAGCAACCCTTGTCCTTCCCTCACTCCCTGCCCCACTCTAAGGTGGCATCTCAGGCTGCCTACCCATCACTCACTACTCCCGCTGCTGGTATTCTTGTCATTCCTTGGACCTGCCAGGGATGCTCCTGCCTTCAAGCTCAGGTTCTGGCCTTCAACATACCTCTGCCTAGAAAGTACCTCCCCCATGTATCTGCTTAATTTCCTTCCTTCTCATATTCCTGCCATCATTTAACCTACTTTATCATTTGCTGATATATTATGCATACTGCTAATTGTCCTTCCCCACATGGTCAGTTCTGAGAGGACAGGGATCTCTCTTTTGTTCTCTGAGGTATCTTAGATATCTACGGCAGTTTTTGAATTTTTTTTTTGTGTGTGTGTGTGAATAGTGAATAATTAGTACTTAATCTGTACCCAGCCCTGGGAATCTGTTTAATTGGAATTGGGGAATGGAGACACATAGTAAGGTTTCTGCCCAAGGTCCTATTAAGGAACTGATAGAGAGTAAGCACTCTCTCTAGAGAGCTGAGGCCCTTAAATCCCTGCAGTATTTTGTTGAGCTGTCACTGTACTTGAAGAGTGATATACTCAGGCAAGGGATAATTCTAATCACACTCTCATTTCTCTACCTTTCCATCAAAAGGGCATTTCAGTTTAAACCTTAGTGAAATTCATGTCAGATAAAGGGAATCCTACTGTAGAATGAAACAATTTTTGTCCCTTGGTTAATTTATTTTATAGTTAATAAGCAGATAAGAAAGTATATCTTTGTGCTGCTCCCCTTAGAAGGCTACTCACTTCTGCATATAAAGTTTTACTATTGTATATGAGTTTTTCTAAAAGATTTACAACAGCTGGATTGCTACCTCTTTGAGACCTTACAAATAGAGATACTGAAAAGGAAGAAATCTAAATGATAATAGCCATAAAATATATTCTTTAATGAAAGGAAAGAGAATTGTGTTTCTACATTTCACTTACTATTTTTTTAAAGATTTTTTATTTATTTATGCATATAAGACCTGGAATATAGGCCAGAGGTGGGAAGTGAGAAGATTCAACAGAGAAAGAGTGGGGAGCAGAAAGAATGAATCTAATGAAATACACTACTGAGGGAAGCAGCAGGTGAAACAGGAGAGGGCTGCTGTGTCACGTGGTTTAGCTCCCGGGCCAGGGATTTAACTCATGATGACAGGTGACAGGTTGATAGTGTTGAGACTGTACCACCAGGGAGGCCCCCATTCTAATTACTCTTTTAAAATAGAAAACTTTTATTGTTTTTTAAAAATATAGACAGAATTCACAAAATCAGAAACTCATTGTATTCTCATACCAAATATTTTTTTGAAAACCTCAAAATAAGTGACAATAGTAAAATCAAAATTAAATGTGATTTCTTTAGGGCATTATGAAGCACAGCACTATGAAGCTATCTGCAACCTCTGCAGCATGAGTTCAATCCCTGGCCAGCCAGGGAGCTAACCACATGGCATAGCAGACCTCTCCTGTCACACCCGCTGCTCCCCTCAGCAGTGTATTTCAGTCAATCCACCTGTTCTGTTTCCCACTCTGTCTCTGGTGAATCTTCTCACACCCCACAACTCTGGTCTATACCCCAGCTTTGTATACATAAATAAAATCTTTAAAATAAATAAATAAATAAATAAATAAATAAATGTGATTATTAAAAGAATCCAGCAAAATATTTGACATAATAAACCTCTCTTCATGTGTTATTTTTCATTTCTAGATGATTCTAAATCACTGATTATATTTTTGGCATTTCTGATTATTGTGACATCAATAGCTCTACTTATTGTTCTCTATAAAATCTATGATCTACAGAAGAGAAGATCCAGGTAAGATTTGATTTCAAAAAGAAAAACCAATGATGGGAGCACTCAACTGTAAGACAAATTTAAAACCACTGAAATGGGAAAAAAGTAAATTCAGTAAAAGACAACATGAAGTATGGTTCATCACAGATCGTTTGATCAAAGGCTTTTAATAATGTCCTATTGGTTTACATCAAATTATTTATCAATATTGTTGTGTATTTCTTTTAAAAATAACCAATGAGAAGAGTATGTTCTTTAAGTATAAAGTGAGCTCAGAAAGATGTAGGAATGACAAAGGAAAAGGAAGAAGTACCTAGGGAATTATATGCATTCCTTTTTGCCAGAAGCAATTGAAAAATATTTCATTTTATGAAAACTAAGAGGTTTAATATAAAATAATGTCATCCCTTATTTGAGTTTAGCAGACTATCCTTAGCTTGTTTCTTCCTCCCTCACATTTTCTTTATTTTTTCTCCTCCTCCCGCCTCCCTCCCAACCTCTCCTCTCCCCTCCCACTCACTTCCTTCCCCTCACGTCATTTTCCACCTCGTTTCCCCTCCCTTCCTTCCCCTTTTCCTTTTTTTTTAAATTCAACCAGCTTCCCCTCCTCCCTCCAATATACTCATTAAATATAAATTGAATATAAAATGAATTCTACATTTCTTTAAAATATAAAAATTAACATTTCTTATTTTCACAGAAATTTAGAAGAACAACAGGAACTTGTTGAAAGGGGTAAGTATGTCTGGTTTTACTCATGAATCTCTCCTCACATTTGAATCCATTTTAAATAAGAATTCGCATTTTATTAATCTTGCTGATCTTCTTCTGTTGATACAATGATGAAACTTAAATTCATTTATTTATTTATTCAACCAGCTAGTATCTGTGAATTTCAAATGTATTCCAAATAGTGTACCAGGCACTGAAAATCTGGCAGCATCATGCCACAGACTCTGCTCTTAAGCAGTCTAGAGCCTAATAGGTGGAAGACAAAAGCACTGACAAATATGACAGCAATCAGATAAGTGCCATAGTGTTCAATGTGTATAGATAGAGAAATTAGAGAAGTGCATCTGAGTCTTCTAGGATTGTGGGAAGTATTAGGCAGCAGATGAGGGAGTAAAGGAGGGAAAGGCAGATGGAAAGTCACACAGAAGAGTCAATACAATGCTCAAGTCCCTGCCTGGGTGGGATGGCTGCTCCCTCTACAGGCCCATCATTTACTTAGGATAAGAAAACAAATTCCACGTTTTTCAACTTTTACATTATTTCCTTAATTTCTTTTTGAAAAATGTGTTTTTTTGATCTGTGGAGTTAGAGAAATTGAAGTTATGTTTATAATAAAGAAAATTATTTTTTTTGTATACTCAGGATAGGAAAAAAATTCTGAATTTTTTCCTCTGTCTTACTTTAAGTTGTCTTTGAAGGGTTTCTCTCAAGCAATTACAGGCACCAAGTCCATAAGCAGAAGCTTTGGCATTGATTCTTTAGAATCCTCGATAGGCATTCATTTCAGTATTAAATTATTTTGTGAGTGTTGATCTTATTTGCAGATTGAAAATGCTAGATGAAGGGAAAACATGACCTTCACTTTGAACATCTTTCCTAAATCAAGTACCTGTGAGTGCATATGGGATAGCTACGTGGGAACTCAGAGAGTAAGGCAGAAAGATGAACAGAAAGCCCAGAATAGGATTGGAGCATAAGATTTCAAAGCCATAGGTTTATTAATGAATATTTATATATAAGTAGGCTTTCCCACTGTCTGCCAAGGATTGAATCCAAGATATACCCTGAATGAAACCTGCATGAACATTTGAAAGATAGATCTAACATTCATATTGAATTTTCAATGTGTTTAAAGATGATGAAAAGCAACTGATGAATGTGGAGCCAATCAATGCAGATACTTTGGTGGAAACTTATAAGAGAAAGATTGCTGATGAAGCAAGACTTTTTCTGGCTGAATTTCAGGTGTGTGCTGTTCTTAATATATATAATGAGAAATTTTATTTAATTATCAAGATAATTCTACTTTAATGTATTGTATAACCGCTTGCTTCAAATTAATCCCATATAATACTGCAATATAGGCAAAGCAGCTATCACTAGCACATGTTTACAGATGAGAAGAGAGAGTAATAGTTATAGTTAGTAAATATTTTAAAATAATACTTCATTTTGTTATTTCCTTTTACGTAGTGGCACAGAACATGATTGGCTGATTTTGTAATTGTTTACTAGATATTCTTCCAAGTATCATCCAAGTATGATAAAGTATCATCCAAGTAAATGCATTTTAAAGTGGCAATTAATTCTGAATTTACTGACACTTATGGGACTTATTCTTAAAGTAGTTAATCATTCATTTTAAAGGAAAAAAGGGTTATTTGCATAATTTGTATAAGTTTCATTTCAATTACCATATGAAACATGTTCATCAGTATAAAGGAAATATATTACAGTATGTCTCATTTGCTGGAAATAATTACTGACAAGGGGAAAATTGTTTTTCTTGAATCTGCTGTAACCCAAAGAATCTGTGTTTTGCAGAGCATTCCAAGGGTGTTCAGCAAGTTTCCTATCAAGGATGCTCGAAAACCCTTTAACCAGAATAAAAACCGTTATGTTGACATCCTTCCTTGTAAGTACTCAGAGAATTGGATCTCCATCTATTTACATGACTTGATTACTCATTATTTCACTCACATATTTTTTCTTTGAACAGATGATTATAATCGTGTTGAACTCTCTGATCTAAATGGAGATGCAGGTTCAAACTACATAAATGCCAGTTATATTGATGTGAGTAACAATGCATAATTGTCAGATTATTTTATATCTTCATCATTTTATCATTGGCCATTTGCATTTTTTATTGTACCTATGCATTCCATTCAGTTCCTTTGTCATATCAAAATTTTAGAATATTATTAAAAAATAGTTTGAAATAAGTGCATAATATCATCACTGATATAAGCAAAACAATCATTACCATTTGCAAGAATATTTATTATTTGCCTATTGGTCCTAGATGTAATATAGGATTTTTCTCTACAAACAAACTGATTGTAATAATTAAAACACTCTGGTGCCTATTAGGTACTGACTATTAGACTAAATTATTTGTTAAACTATGTATGTACTTCTCATAAAAGCCTCACATTTGTGCTAGCCACGTGCGCTGTGCTGGCTGTAGAAATAAGGACTGGGTGCCTCTAGCTTGTTACCTGTTCAATTAGTAAAAGTTTGAATTAGGATTCAAACCCAGGACTGCTTGACTCCAAACTGTTGAGTTTCAATTACATAACATTGCATTTCAATAGAGATACTTTTCATCAATAAATATCCTGTATTTATTATATTTCCCCCCAAACAAATATCAGCACATGAATAGGGTTAATCTATCTAAAATACTTTTTTAAAATAGTTATATAATTGTTAAATATTCTATCATTTGAATTCAAAATTTTAAGTATAAAAATATATAGAGACCGAAAAAAAATCTTCCTTCCGCCCAATCCACTGTCCCCAATCCAGTGTCCCCACTAATCAGGAGGAGTAACCTATATGTTGCTTATTAGATATCCAATCAGAGTTTCTTTACATCTAAACAAGAAAAATAAATATTATCCCTCTCTTTTTGCAAAACTTTTAATATTTATACTGTTCTGTACCATGCTTTATTTACCTTAAATAAAAGCACATAACTGAGATATATATAATACCATTATGAAAAGTAGAGCTTGGCTAACTTATTCAGTAAGGGTTCAGAAAACAAATATTTTGGGTTCTACAAGACTTATCTGAGCCACAGCTACTCATCTCTGCAATTTTGTAGCCCATTTCCATAGACAATAAATACATAATATGGCTGCCGTGCTCAAAAAAAACCCTAAAAAATCAGGCCTGCTTGATTTGTCTCAGGCTGTGGTTTGCTAACACCAGACATAGAGCATATCTGCATCTTTATTTTATATTTTTGTAGTAATTTATGATATAGTTGCATTGTAATTTATTTAATCAGTTCCTATAATAATATATAGTAAGTGTGGTTTCTAATCTATTACACAGGATGGTTTAATGAATAACTTTGACTCACATTCTTTCATGATGGGATTCTGGGATTCAGTATATCAATATGATAAATTTCTAAAAGAAGCATCACCAGCTCAGAAAGAATATGCACCTTTAATTTTAAAGATGTTTCCAAATGGTCCTCCACTGTGGTTACACCCATTTATACTCTACTTACAGTGTACAAGAGTGTTCTGATTCCACACAGACTTACTAAAAGAGTGGTTATCAAATATTTTTTTGACAAATTGACAAAATGATGTCTTGTTTCCATATATGCTGGTTATAAGTTAGATTCCACATTTTTTCCTTGAAATTGAGGACTTTTTCCCCTAGTTGTTAGTTTGATCTATTTAAATGTATAACCTTTTACTGGAGTAGCTGAAATAGTCATATTATTATTATGCTTTTGTTTCCTAAGGCTGACATAATAAAGTACGACAAAGTAGGTGACTTAACAACAGAACTTTATTCTTTGGAACAAATCTGGAGGCTAGAAGTTCAAAATCAAAGTGTCTGAAAAGCCCTTCTCCCTCAGAAGGCTCTGAGGAAAATCCTTCCTTGCCTCTTCCTAGCATCTTGTAGATCTTGGCAATCTTTGGTAATACCTGGCTTGTTTCTGTATCACTCCAGTCTGCATCAGCATCACATGGCTCTCTTCCCCATGAGTCTCCAAGCCACTGTGTCTCCTTTTTCATAAAGATACCAGTCATTGGATTCAAATCAGTATGATCTCATGTCCCCAAAGTATATCCACCAAGACCCTATTTCCAAGTTGAATTACAGTCTGAGACCCCAATGTACTTGAGTTTTGGGGGAATGCTATTCAATCTGCTACACATAGTTTATGTAAAAATATAGAATAATTTGGAAATACTTTTTTAACTTGGATCATTCCTGAAACATGCATCTCCAACATCTGTAACTTAATCTTTAATAAAGTTCCTTTCTGAGACATCTAATAATGTTCCAGAGCAAAATTCTTGACATTAATGATTATAATGACAATTGGTAATGCAATTGGCTACATAGTTGCTATTTATTAGCCACCTTTTTAAGGGCTTTCCATATATTAAATCAATTAATTCTCAAAACAACACTATGAGGTGTTCCTTGTTTTGCTAGTAGGAACAGACTTGGGATATTCTTTTTCTTAAACACACTTTCTCTAGAGAAAGCATTCTAATTTCTAGAGTGTCTTGCCTGCCATCGACTTTGATATAGTTTGTGTATTTTTCTATTGCTGTCCCTGGAAAATAGCCTAAGCAAGAGATACCTCTCCTATGACATGTGCTCATTATATCACAGTGTAACTTCCTGCTTTTATTTGTGTTTCACATGATCCTCAAAAGCCTTGCTTACAATAATAACCAACTCTTACAAATCTGAGATCATGGTGAAAAATAATTAGTAGTAATGTGACATAACTTTGTCCTCTACTATAACCAATTTTTCAGGTAGCGTTGGTAAGCTTCATAGTTAGCATCAATCAAGTTTATTTTAATGAATAGCATCTTTTCTAAGCAATTTATTCTTCAAAGGAAAATAATTGAGAGTAAATGTTAATTTCACAAGGATTTATATTGTCTCTGAAGAAAGCATAATCTGATCTGTATTTTCTATTCAAATGTATATGGTTATTACAGTATTGAGGTATACTCAGGTTGCTCCAGCAGAGCCCTGAGCTCCTGGAAGGGCATGTGACATATATTAGCCACTCATTATATACATATTGAATAAATGAATATATGAATAATGCTATGTCATGATACAGAAATTTCAAGAAGTCACTAAAACTCATCATGAATTTTTGTGACTGAATTTCATCTAATGGCACATGTTATCTCCCTAAAAGACTTTCTGATTGCAAGATAAAATTAAGGAATGTGAGGTAGTATTGGAAGAAATTATCAAAGTATCTTATCTGCTCTAAACTCCTTTTTGCCTTGGTAACAGGAGTGGAGATAGCAGATATTGCAAGTAATGAAATAAAAGTTATCTTGTCGAGAATGGCATAAATGAGCCTAGGGAATTAGCAATATAAGCCAGATGAGTTAAAGGGAAGAAATGACTTATTGAAAGAAATTGGGTAAAAATCCTCAAAGTAAATACATGCCTGATAAGAAGGTTTGAGTTATGACTGAGGGCACATTAAGGACTGGCAGGATATAAAACAGAGGAATGCCTGAGTTATTTCTGTATATAGCTGTACCATCTACACGAGGATGAAGTCTGTTTTTTCTTGTTTTGTGTATATAGAAAAAAACGAAAATTACGCATATTGTTTGTGAATGCTAAGATCATTGTCACAGTTAAATGCCTGCTCATGACTTTATAAAATGCCTTTTGTCGTTTTAAAATGCCCAGGGAAACCAACAATGAAGAAATGTTGGGCCTGAAGCAAATTCTTCCAGCTCACAACTTTGCATGTAGATGAATAATTGAGCTTTCAGTAAATGATATATCTTTGTGTGTTTTGAACAGGGTTTCAAAGAACCTAGGAAATACATTGCTGCACAAGGTAATTTGTTGGATAGTCCAATATTCTTTTTGAACAATTGTTTATTTTTTAAGATTTATTTTTATTTATTTACACATATAAGATCTGGGGTCTAGGCCAGAGGTGCAAGTGGGTGAGAGGTTTCACCAGCGATGGAGTGGGAAGCAGAACATGTGGATCTACTGAAATACACTGCTGAGGGAAGCAGCAGGCAAGACAGGAGAGGTCTGCTGCACCTTGTGGGTAGCTCCTTGGCTGGGGATGGAACTTGTGCTGCAGTGGCTGGTGATAGCTTGATAGCACTGAGACTTAACCCCTGTGATGCCAGGTAGGCCCCTGTTTATATCACTTTTAAGAAGATATTTCTTAGCAGTTTGTGTTTGTTTACCTCCTAGGTCCAAGGGATGAAACAGTTGATGATTTCTGGAGGATGATCTGGGAACAGAAAGCCACAGTTATTGTCATGGTCACTCGATGTGAGGAAGGAAATAGGGTAAGAACCCAGAAGCTTCATTGGGTGAAGGATAGAGATTCCTAGGGTACAGATGGGGTTAGGAAAAAAGATTTATTTATATTTCAAGAAGTCACATATGTGTGCTTGGTGACTAAAACAGATAGTTGTCTGCTTTAATCAGTATAAAACTGCTTTAAATTTTCATTCATGTGGAGAAATAAAACATATACATATCTAAGTACATGTGTATATGAGCAAACTTTAGATGTTTTGCTTCAATGCTGGGCTTTCATTTGATTATACTTCTTTGCAGTATTTTTTTAAGTTTAGTTATTTTCTTTGGGCTGACTTCCCAATTACTGATGAATACCTGAAACAAAACTGACCTTAGGCAGAGAGGTGGTGACTCATACAATGTAACTTTAGGAACTATGAAAACTTCTCCATCCCTCATTCTGCTCACCACATGCAAATACATCACTCTGCTCCCACTGAGCATATCCTCTTTTAATATGCAGCTCAGGCTGGAAGATCATACTTCCCCTAAGTAGTATAGAGGAAATCCTTCAGAACCCATTAATGGGAAGTGGATTGCATTTAAAACGTAACAGTTTAGAGTTTATATGTATTTAAAGGAGACGATACAAATATTTTGAAAATATCAGAGTAATACATTTTTATTTTGCCTTTTAAAAGAATGTTTGACAAACAGGTTTGTTCAAATGAAATCTAGATTTCACGATTTTTTTTTAACCCCAGAACAAATGTGCAGAGTACTGGCCATCAATGGAAGAGGGGACACGGACTTTCAGAGATGTTACTGTAAATCTCACTGAGTACAAAAGATGTCCAGATTATGTCATTCAGAAATTGAACATTGCAAATGTGAGTTTGTTTTGGTTACATAATTTTTATTTTCATATTCTTGTCTAAAATATGATTAGGAGATATTAAATATAAGAAACTAAATGTATATGGGAAAATATTTTCAGTGTCCTGCAGGAGGAAAAGTTGGGTTAGAACAATAACACAAGCCAAGAGGGTCAGTTAAGTCACTGATGTAAGTGCTATTTGTGCAAAGCACAACACAAATATTTATGGTTCTGTGGTCCTTTAAGTATAAGAAAAGAGCACATGAAATATGTTGAATAAATGATTGAATTATTGAATGGAGGATAAAACAGTCCCTATTTTCAATGGGTTTGCTACCATTATGAAAAGAATATTTATACGAATCACACAATGAGAGAGACTATGTAAGAAGTATGTGGTACATATATACCATGGAATATTACTCAGCATTCAAAAAAGATAAACACATGCAATTTGCAGCAACATGGATGGCGCTGGAAGGGATCATGCTCAGCGAAATAAGCCAAAAAGAAAAAGAAAAATACCGGATGGTCTCACTCATAACAGGAATCTAGAAAACTTAAATAAGGGACCAGGAAAATGAATAACTATAAGAAAGTGAAAATCAAAATCAACAAAAAACTATGAACCAGAGACACTTTTAGGGGGGCGGGGGCGGGAGGGGAGGGATTGGGGTCAGAATGGGGGGGCTGCAATTGTATTGGGAATATAACAATAAAATTTATTATTTAAAAAAAAAAGAAGTATAAAGTTCTGACTATGATGTAGAGATAAAACATTTTATTCAGAGAATAAAACTGTCAGTGTGATCTTAAAAATCTAGTTAAAATGGAGGTGTGACTATATGGTTACATATGATTATATGATTCAATTTACATGAAAATCCAGACTAATCAAATTTATAGAGATATAGAGTTGATTAGTGATTGCTTGGGACTAAGGAGGGTGGGACAGGAATAGGAATGACTACTAATCCATGTGAGTTTTGGGGGATTAAATGAAATGTCCTATAACTAGATGATGGTGATGACTTCACAACTCTAAATATAATAAAAAAAAAATCACACTTTAAATAATTTAATTTTATGGTATGTAAAATGGGGGTCTTTATAGACAAAGTTGAAATTTTCTCTGAATTCTATTCATTGGTAGGTTTTTAGTAACTTAAATTTTATTTCTGCATGGTCTAGAAACATTTTCTACAGAAAAAAAATGACTAAGGCTATTTTCCCCCTCACTAAGGTTTTTCCACCTCAAGACCTTCTAAGAGTCCCATAGCATTAGTTACTGTATGACCCTGGAGACCTGCGGAACAACCTCACTGATGTTTCATGGCTAAATACATGATGGACTAAGCTTTGAAATCTCACAAATCATAGATTTGGGTGATATGTAAAAATGGACACCAATCTGATTACATTTAGTCTAATGTTACTTTTCTTAATTAACTCAGTTATTTCCTATTAGAAAATTACAACCAATTTTTTTTTATTTCTTCTGTAATCTACATGTAGGTGGTTCTTCTTTATACCAGGTGAAAGAATTATGAATTATTCATCTTCTGGTGGTACTTAGAGATTGGGACAAATATGGGATGTATTTTTGCTCAGTTCTTTCTCTATGGTCTGAGTTAACATTTCTTTCTTTCTTTTTTTTTTTTAAAGATTTATTTATTTATACAAGCACTAGGTACAGTCAGAAGCATGGGAGGGTGAGAGAATTCGCCAGAGCCAGAGCAGGGAACAGAATAGGCAGACCGACGAAATACACTGCTGAGGGGAGCAGCGGGCGAGGCAGGAAAGGTCTGTGCGCCATATGGGACCCTCGCCCGGCAGACTGGGATGGAATGGACGCTGTGGAGGCTGTGGGAAACTTCACAGCCCAGCGCTCAACCACTGTGCCACAGTGGAGGCCCCTGAGTTAACATTTCTAATGTGAGAGAGTCTAAGAAAGAGAATGTTAATCAAATAATTCATCAGACCTTGTTTACATAGCAGTTGGTCTTATTTGCTGGTTTTCAAAGCATACATATTTCAAGCAGCAATTTGAATGGCCTTTGTATCTTTGCACATCCATACACCATCTCCCAATTGTGTGTGTTTTGTTTTTGTTTTTGTTAGTTTAGTTTCTGATTTGGCAGCATGAAAGTACCTAAAGATTTAAGCTCTCACACTCCATACCTTACCTACCTTCCTGGTAAGTTACTGCTTACTGGTCAGTGCATGCCAGTCCTGCATGACATCTCAGTTAGTAGTTACTAATTGGAATGGAAAAGTTTATATTGCCTAGAAAAAAATTCTGCATGAGGAGTTGCTTTTTTTTTTTTTTTTTTTTTGTTTTGTTTTGGTTTGTGTTTTTTTGTTTTTGTCCTGGACTTCCTTCCACTTATTTATTTATGTCAGGTTATTTGCTTTGAAACAAACAAACAAAAAGTCAATGAAAACATTATCCCTTGTCCAGAAAAAAGAAAAAACAGCCGCAAGAGAGATAACTCACATTCAGTTCACCAGCTGGCCAGACCACGGGGTGCCTGAAGAGCCTCACCTGCTCCTCAAGCTGCGAAGGAGAGTGAACGCTTTCAGCAACTTCTTCAGCGGCCCCATAGTGGTGCACTGCAGGTGAGTGAATCCAGCTGGAAGCACCAGGGCTATTCACATCCTTGTGCTATTAGGTCATCCACCCATTTGGCTACTGCTATTTTGGGAAGCAATCTAGGCAGTGAAACTTCATAGTCCTTTCTCTGCTCCATCCTTATTGACTTTTTCATTAATTTCCTTGCCTTTCATGCCTTGGCCTTTTTTTGTTTGTTTTGTCAGTGCTGGTGTTGGGCGCACAGGTACCTACATTGGAATTGACGCCATGCTAGAAGGCCTGGAGGCAGAGAACAAAGTGGATATTTATGGTTATGTTGTCAAGCTGAGGCGACAGAGATGCCTGATGGTTCAAGTGGAGGTATATTCTAGCCTTCAATCGCTATTATGCTTTGGCATTATGACCAATCTTTTTGTGGTGGATGTACTAATTTCAAAATAAATACAAGTTCTTTCCAACTTCAGACAATGTGCAAAAATAGTTTTAAATTCCTAAATTAAAATTAAAACTAAAGCAAGTGGAAAGCAGCAATCATAGTGCATTTTCCATTCATAGCTAAAAGTACTGACAAAGAAGTTGACTATCAAATGTTTTTTTTAAGATTTATTTATTTTATTTATACAAGAACTGGGGTACAGGCCAGGTGCACCGGAGGGTGAGAGGATTCAGCAGAGACATTGCAGGGAACAGAACAGGCAGACTGATGAAATACACTGTTGAGGGGAGCAGCGGGCGAGACAGGAGAGGTCTGCCGTGCCATGTGGGACCCTCGCTGGCCAGCCGTGATCAAACCGACACTGCAGAGGCTGCGGACAGCTTTACAGGGCAGCGCTCAACCGCCTGCCCCACCAGGGGAGGCCCCTCAAATATGTTTTTTAAAATAATGAAACAACAACATATCACATTGGGAAACAACACTAAAAACTGATTTGGCAGCATCTCATAAAATTAAAATAAAACTAGGGAGACAGACTAGCATGGTGGTTAAGAGCCTGGACTTCCAAGTTTCAAATGCTGCCTTTCATTTGTTAATACTATGCACACCTGGGCAAGTTCCTAATGTTTATGTCAAGTCATCTGTAAAATAGAGATGACAGCATTTACCTTATAAAGTTACAACAAAAAGATAATCCACGTAAATAAAACACCTAGATTAGTCCCTGGCACATGCAGGTCATCAGTAATTGTCAGTGATGGTTATTATAGAAAATTTCTACATTTCCCCCAGCAATTCTGTATGTACTATGTTCCTATGAGAAGCACTTGATATTATATACAACTACAAACTTGCAGGAATGTTCATTGCATTCAGCATTGTTAGACTAGCCCAAAAAGGGGAGACACCCTAAATACATACCCATAGGGAAATGGACAAACAAAATATAGATATTTGGGCCCTTGTATAATATACTCTATGCTGCAGTTAGAAAGAATAATCTAGTTTTATGTCTATATCTATCTATCTACCTACCTACCTACCTATATATATATATATATATATATATATAAAGGTTTAAGCTTTATATATATATTAAAAATATATATATAAAAGCACCTGACTCTCTCTCTCTATATATATATCTAGCATCTAACTCTCTCTCTATACATAGACTCTCTCTATATATAGAGACAGGTGCTCATATCAGAAGCAATCAGTGAGTAAAGTCACCAAATGAAACATGTAAGACATAATTTTGAAAAGAACACAAAAATGTATGTTTATAAATGCAGATATTAGTGTAGAAATATTAAAAGACTGTTAAGCAGAAAGAAATATGTCATATGAAAAAATAGAGTGAATGATATAGCCAAACTCAGGCTTGAAGTTTATCAGAAATAGAGCATCTTTTTAAAAATAGTGGATTCAAATGTGGTAAAAGCTTCAGCATTGTTAAATCTAGGTCAGGCATATTTTGTTTTAAAAATAATTTTCTATATTTAAAAAGTTAGAGAAAACTGTTCAAGAATGTGTTCTATGGAATATCAACTTGCTTTTTTTTAACCTAACATAGAGTGTGACTTTTATTATAGTTCTGCATATTAGTAAGTTGAATTACCGATATAATAATCACCAAAAGAAAAAACATGTAGTATGTTTCAGTTTTTAGAAAAAAAGATACAAGCTACCCACTACACTGTAGAAGCCAATTCCCTGGAAAATTAGTGTTAAGATGGAATTTGCACATATTCTGGAGAACTGTGAGAGTCAACTAATATTTACATGTTACGGTTTCCTCTCTCACATATTGTCACAATATGAACAAAATTATTGGACTATATAATTTATATAAATGTGATCTATAGGACTTTAAATTATCAATTCATTTTCTGTTTTTTTCCTTAAAATTATAGGCACAGTACATTTTGATCCATCAGGCATTGGTGGAATACGTTCAGCATGGGGAAACAGAATTGAGCTTGTCTGAATTCCATTCATCTCTACAAAACTTGAAGAAAAGAGATCCTCCCAGTGACCCCTCTCCACTAGAGGCAGAATTCCAGGTAATAATAAAGATGATGATAATACTTATAATAGATAACTTTCATTGCGTTCTATTTTCCAGTGCTGTGCTAGTCACTTGACATAGTTTCTTCCATTTGGGCCTCACTATAACCAACAGAGGACAGATGAGGATACTAAGACACAGTTTAAGAGAAATGCCTGGAATCACACAATTATCTAGGAGACTTGTTTAAATCTATAAATCTGATTCTACAGTCAACACTTCTAGCCATTCCTCATTAAGCTAGTATAAAATAAAGTGTCAAGATCATAGTATATAGCCACAAAATTGGCCCGCCAAAAGCAGTGCAGCATCTCACCTTTAAACTTGCATCTGGTTTTGGTTTGTAAAGGAAATAATTAGAGGAGTTTATGACTCCTTAGGAAGTTGAACTGACTGGAACTGGTAGACAGAAACTAAAGTATAAATGCATGCAGTACATGTGTCCTAACCTATTTATTAGGCAATTACTCTTAAAAACTAACCTAGGATGCAGTTCACTATGATTTCAAAGAATTGGTATTGCTGTCTCCAATTGTTCAGTTCTCAGAAAAAAAAGTTTGGAAACTTTTCTCTTTTATCCATGATTTCCAGTTTATGAAAGCTTTCTGTAAACTACCAATATAGTCAATTCAAGGAGTTTCACAACAAGACTTAGAATGTGCTTTTAATCAGATGCAGAATGAATAATGTTTTGGAACAAAGTGGGTATGAGACTGGATGTGGAGGTAGATCACTAAGTAACACAATTCACCAGAAGACCTATATTATAATGGAAGAACTAGCAGGCACAGAGAGCAATCTTAAACAGAGGGATACTTTATTGCTCTTTTAGCTGATAAATTCAATACACTTACATTCAATACAATACATTCCATACACTTACCCTAATTAATCACATATACACATACGTTGTTTGGAAAGACTTATAATAAACTTACTTTAAACATTCATGTGTATAGTCACTAAAAGAAAGTAAATTCTTTCACTGGACAAATATGATGGAATATCTACTCTGTGCTAAGTACAAGTCTAGGCACAGGAAAATGGTTAGTTGGTAGATTTGCTGTTGAGAGTTTGAAATAGTTCTTGTTTAATTGCCTTTTCTTAAGAAAATATGAAGCAAGATCATCAGTTGATTTTTAGGGGCACAAGAGTGAGTAGAACAAAGAAATTATGCCTGAGGAAAGGGAAAGTTATTAAATAGTTAAAACATAGTAGGCAAGCAATCTTCCTAGGCAAAGGAAGTAAGCTTGCCAGAAATTGTTGTTGGATCATTTGAAATGTATCATCATGGATTTAATAAGAGTTAGTTGATTGTATTTTCTACAGAATCATTGAGTTTGCAAGGAATAGAGGTTGTAAATGCTGACAGTTGAGTTAAACTCATCTAGAATTTTTTTAAATGACTATTTAAAAGTTGGGGAGCAAATGAGCTGAGGGTACTTTCAAATGAATGACGTAGTGGTGGGCGATAAAAAGGGAATTGATCATAGAAGGACATGACCTCAGAAAGTAAGTAAGTAGTAAAGACAATATGTTGGAGGCTTTGATAGAAGTGTAAAAAACTAAATTCAAGGTTCTAGATAATCCAGTGGTGGATGAGACTGGAATGACAATGTCAGCCTCATCTCCTACTGGACTAGAGATTATAGATCCTTGAAGGTTTTTTGTACTGTATTAAAAAGAGGTTAGAAAAGGAAAAAAATTAAAGAGTTTCGATGTATTCAAACAAGGATGTCAAGATGTTAAAGAGCCTCAGAGGAACTTGCTGGTTTGGTTTTAAAAGGATTAGAGCTGGTGAGAGGGCAGATAGGGCCCAGTTAAGAAACTGATGCTTTCAAATGAGACATAAAAGTGGACTGAAGTCCACCATGCTGTGGAGGAGTACAATGCTTTGGTGGTGAGTGTGATGTGGTAATATACATCAGAAGGGATTTATAACTCCAAAAAATACAGTGTTGTAACTAATATTATCTCAATAATAAATGATACAATAAAAAAGCATATAAAATCATCAAACAAAATTAAAAAAAGAAATTATATATCCAAAAAAGTGGAATTAAGGAGAGAAAAGGACAGCATGTTTTCCAATATCATTTTATGTTATTAGGTTGTAATGTTGATGAGAAAAAAAAACAGTCCCAGGCCTGTTATCTGAGGAACTGATTTGTTATAAGGCTTTGGCTTAAAGTCACAATTTTCAAGAACCTCTCAGCAATGTTAAGTAAGGAATGATTGTAAAAGGATTTGAAGCTTCCCCAGTAGAAATGGTAGAGATTGTGGACTAGCTGCTATGAGTGAGGGAGAAAGCAGTTTGGAAGGCATAAATAAATGATGTATCCACAACTGGAAGCATGTGCTAAGACTTCATTAAATGTTGTGTCTGGAGAGCTTATTTCTGATAATTGAAATAATGTGCCATTACTATTTGCAATCTTAATTAATAACCAACATCTGTATAGCACCTTCATCATAAATAAGAACAACCATACTATCCCTCTTCCTCTTCAGTCAGAAGTATTTTCTTTTATATAATTGTGTATTTCTAGTTTAACCTCCCAAGTCAAATATATAACTACTTCAGCAATTAAAAGGAAAAATTCAGAGGCACACTTACAATTTGTGACCTACAGAAAATGTGTGCAGATTTCACAAAACTTGAAATGCTTTTCTTTAGGGAGTATTTATAATACCAAAAATATCAATAAAATAAGCCAATATTTACATTTTAAAAGGACTTACTAGTTTCCTTTCTTTCAGAGACTTCCTACATATAAGAGCTGGAGGACACAACACGTTGGAAATCATGAAGAAAATAAAAGTAAAAACAGGAATTCTCATGTCATTCCATGTATGTAGTTTATTTTATTTTACTTTTTGTCTCAGTTAAAGTTAAGCTTTCTTTTGGATTTGTTTAAAGTGACACACACACACACACACACACACACACACACGGATGATCTTGTAGCGAGCTTTCAACAATTGGATGACTATAGAGAATAGTTAACAGGTTACTTCAATTTTAGAAGCAGCAAATACTTTGAACCCTAGGTATTCACAATGGACTTTGGTGGGTAGGAAAACAAAAAACTTCTGAAGCTTGGAAATTATGATCAAGTTCTCTTCAACAGTTCTCTTTCATCTTTAGGGTATTTCCATTACTTTTGGTTGTTGACAAATAGCAGAAATCACATCCTTTTGTTCTCTTACCTCTCCCTTCTATCTGGAGGTTGAGGTAGGTGAAAGTACTCTATAAATTGTCAATCATCAAATTTAACACATCAAAATATGCTGTGTTCAAGCCTTGTATTTTGCTACTTAGGTATATTAATGGTACCATATTGGGTACAACTGGAATTTTGTCCAGTTGCATACACTAAATTATTCACAGGGAAAATATAATGTAGATTAATAAACTGGACAATGAAATAATTCAGATAATTACACTGTCAATCTAGTTAACCTCTGAAGAAGTCCTTAAGAATATAGTTTAAAATATGCAATGGATGGTGATGTAGATAATTAGATCATTTGATCAGGTTATTATAAATTAAAGAAGTTTGACAAATTTTTCCTGGAATCCTTTTGGGATCTTTTTTTCATAATCTTTTAATAAAAGCTGAATTTTAGGTAGAATGACATTCACATTCACGTAGGTCAATAAATTCATGTAATACAATCTGTCCCTTAAAATTACTTTTTAATTTCCACATGACTATCAAGCAGATATTTTTATAGTAAGAATTACTACTGTTTGTTTTACACAGATGACTTTAACAGAGTGCCACTTAGACATGAACTGGAAATAAGCCAAGAGAGTGAGCATGATTCAGATGAGTCTTCTGATGACGACAGTGACTCAGAGGAAATTAGCAAATATATCAATGCATCCTTTATAATGGTAGGTACTTCAATTTCCAAAGCCCAAAATGTAATTCTTTAAAAAGTATAGCTATGTTATTATGGCCATTTTATGAGAGGTTTTATAAAAGAATAATGAGCTTGATTACGATGGCATATTGATGACATGAGACTTTTAAGACTATATTTTAACTTATTAAAGGAAAAATATTGAAACCTAATGAGTTGATATACAATAACTTTTAATTATAATTTATGACAAATATGACTATAATTATATTAATTTAAAATAATAAAAAATAATAAATATAACTTTTTGAAAATGTTTATATTTACTCACACATCCAAATTGTTGAGTAAATCCAAGTTTGCCTATTCATATAGCTAAATATTTTTCATTCATATTATCTAAATTATTAGTCTACATAACTTTTTTTTTAGTAAATTGAGATTTGAACAAGGTAGCTATAGTATTTCGGTAAATACTTTTTACATATTTACTATTAGACTTACTTTTCAAGTTTTCCACAAATATACATTCATAGAATACTAGTATAATTATAAGCCATCATAAGAATGCTTAGACATGCTGAAGACAACTTAAAATGTGCATGCAATTTATTTTTATTATTGCATTAACCATTTTAGAGAAAAAAGATATTTGTAGACAAGAAAGCTAATTACTTTTGCAAAGTAATATATTTTCAATGTGATTTTACTAAGAATTATCATTAATAAGTATTTTGCATAAATATAACATTGGACCTTGAACTAAAAAATCTTAATATTTTTTGTAATAGTACTGATAGCAAACTAAGTAACTGTATTTTCAAATGGTGATTTTACAGATCCACTGATTTCTCATCAGTTAGCAGTAGTTACAGAGTCCCACCTTTTTTTCTTTAGAGTTACTGGAAACCTGAAATGATGATTGCTGCTCAGGGACCTCTGAAAGAAACCATTGGTGACTTTTGGCAGATGATATTCCAAAGAAAAGTAAAAGTTATTGTTATGTTAACAGAGCTGAAGAATGGAGACCAGGTTTGTACTTTCAAGAATCTTTTTTTAAAGTCTGTCATAAAACATGGTTTTACTTTCTTGGATTTTTATGGCTGGCTTCCTATGTCCAAGTCTCTTGACCCTTCTGTCACAGTACACCATTTGTTCTTGCTGATCCCGTTCCATTCAAGTATTGCCGCCATCAACTGTCTGGCTTCTGACAGTTTCTCATATTTGACTCTCCCAACACTGCTTGCTGCTGTCATCCCTTGTGAAAACCAAGGGATAACAAACATCTGAAGATAACAAACATCTGAAAAGGTGTGAATTTACACCTCTGACTCATATGCAGTGTTCTCAACCAATGTTACTTCAAAAATAAGTAAATAAATATTTTTTCAGGATAAAAAGCATATTCCTTTGTCTGATATTAAGCCCCTCAGTAATCAGAGTCTCATCTATCTTTTCATTTTCCTCATGCAGTAATGTTTTTCCATATTTTCTACTCTGGATACCTAGGTTTACTAACTGAATCTTTTTTTTTTTTTAAGATTTTATTTATTTATTTATTTATTTATTTATTTATTTATTTATTTATTTAGTTAGTTATTTATACAAGCAATGGGTACAGTCAGAAGTGTGGGAGGGTGAAAGGATTCACCAGAGCCAGAGCAGGGAGCAGAGCAGGGAGCAGAGCAGGCAGAAGGACTGAAGTACACTGCTGAGGGGAGCAGCGGGCGGCAGGAGAGGTCTGCGCGCCATGTGGGACCCTCCTCCAGTGGCCGGGGAGCAGCCGGGGATCGAACCAGCGCTGCAGAGGCTGCGGGCAGCTTTGCAACCCAGCGCTCAACCGCTGCGCCACCGGGGAGGCCCTACTAACTGAATCTTAACACACCATTTGCGTTGTCAGCTCTGAGTCTTAATTTACTGACATTCCATTTATCTAAACATGCTCTCTCTCCCTTTGTAAACCTACTTTATCTCATAAACATAATTTGAAATAAAAATACCTGTGACATATATTTGACCCTTTCCTTAATATCTTGAGTTATCAAAATTTCTCTGGCAGTAGGCCATACTTAGCTTTAGTATTGAACATATGGTCGAATTTGACATATGTTAAAACTCATTTAATGATGTCCTCATAAACAAGCAATTATATTTTGTGCCTTTTCTTTCTCTTTCCCCTCATTTTTATACATAGAAATTGTCTTCTATTAATATATTGATGGATTTTTTTTCTTTAAAAATAAATCCAGATTCCCAGCATGAAAGTCCAGTAATATTTTTATTCACTTAAATTGTGAAAGCTAGGAAATGAACCAGAAGGACCAGCAGGAATGTTGTCAGCAATTATGGGATAGTAGTTGATGGAGAACTATTTACAAAGGGAAGAAAATGTCTGTAATGCATTTGTTCTTGAACCTACCCCTTTACTTAGATTTTGAGTCAACTTATATAGAGCTACTAGTGGTCCTGTTCACCAAGATTCAGTCTCCTTCAAAGACCTCTTGTGGAACAGAAAGACACGAGGTATTGAAGGGGTCCTGATAGGCTGCAATTCCATCTATAGATTGTTAAGAGGTAAGCATAGGAGTACGGAATGTAAGACCTGCACAGGGAGGACAGAGCTGCTCCTGTTGTGTCCTAACTTCCTTGGTTATACCTGCATCCCCTGCATTTGCACGGGGAAATACCACATATTTGTTGAATGGATGTTGAACATACTAGGATAGATTTTAGCATTTTATGGACAGGTTTCAGTTATAGAATGTAATAATTTTAATTTAAATGGAAAAAAGGAAATAAGAAGAAAAGAAAGAGGAGACAGACAGGAGAGAGGGGTGGACTCTGAATGTTTTAAGAAACAAACTACCTTGGAAGTTGGTGATCTATGTTCTTTCTTATCTAGGAAGTCTGTGCTCAATACTGGGGAGAAGGAAAGCAAACATATGAAGATGTAGAAGTTGAAATGAAAAACACAAATAAATCTCCAGCTTACACACTCCGTGTATTTGAACTAAGGCATTCCAAGGTATGTACACAATTTCTGGAGTATTTATCTTCAATACAATTTATCAAGTAAAAAATATGAATTATTCAATAAGGGCAAAACAACTACATCATGCCTTCGGAATAAAGCTTTAATATGATGATATGAATGTACTTGTGAAGAAAACATGACTATTAAATTATAAAATGGGCTGAACTTCAATGGAGTTAATGCTTCCTCCATTTCTGGTTTTAGAGGAAAGACTGTCGAACTATACACCAGTACCAATTTCATAACTGGAGTGCGGAAGAGCTTCCTGCAGAACCCAAAGAATTAATATCTATGATTCAGGTTCTCAAACAAGAACTTCCCAAGAAGAATTCCACCGAAGGAACTAAGTATCACAAGAATGTGCCTCTTCTCATTCATTGCAGGTAGGTAGGGTTTGATAAAATGTTCTCTAAAAATCATAGTAATACTTGACATCTTGGTTCACACTTACTGTTAAATTCTATTTATCCTGTTATATGAAACACATCTGCAGTGAAAGTCCCTTATGAAGTCCCTCTTAATTATTCTCACAAGCATAACTATTATAGAAATATCATATAAATTATTACATTATAGTGGAAGAATTTTAGGTTGTGTATTCCTTAATATTAGTTCTATGTCATCTTTGATTCCGTGGTGCCTAACATTGAACCTAGAATGTTATATGTCCTGAGTGAATTAATGAATGATAGTAAGTATGCATGAACAGATAAAGTGACAGGTATTATAATTGCTTACACTATATTGGTCCACTCTATTAGGTATTAAAAGAATACAGGGGACTGAATGCTTGGCCTTTAATAAACCTATCTTCAGTTACATATTAACTAAAATCTCAATGCTTAGCAACTTGTATATGAAACCCATTATTTGATTTCTAAACTGACTCAAAGAACAAAGATTTTAATAATATACACAATAATACTTGATTTTTTATTAATTTCTATTATTAAAATCCTTAAGTTTCATCTGATAGATAATTCATATTCAACTTAAATAAGAGATTTTGAAAGGAGGGTGTTAATATAAGTGTTTGCACTTAAAAATTAAAGTAAACGAGAAATGAAAATGATGAAGTAAATGTAAATCTAGCAAAGTGCTTTAAGAATTTTTGATTAAGCCTTATTATTATTGTTGTTGCTATAATCGCATACACAGAATCAAGTCCTTACAGATATCATACTTTTAAGTATTAATTGGGGTTTTCAATAGTGAAAAACATGTAGGGAAAAAAAGCTGAAGAAGGAAAGCTTAGGTTTTAAGACTATATTTCTTAGGATTTGGTTGGCTACTTACTATAATTTCTTTAGATAATCCTGTTAATAACACATTTTTAAGTTGAATATTACACATGTAGCATATCTCTCACAGTTTGCAAATCACTTGGTTGCCTTCTTTTTAATGAATAATTCCTTAAGGTATTTTTTTCTGTTGATGCAGAAATACAATAATTTACAAAGACAAAGGGAAAGACAGAAGAGAAAAGTAGTATAATTAGTAGTCTAGTAACTTATAAAATATCAGGTCCAGTATATGTTTTCATCAATTTTTGGCCATGACTTCATCTATCCTAAATCGTGATGTCCTCATCTATCAAATTGGCACTATGATATTTGTTTTAGCAACTTCAGATGTAAATTTTTAAATGGACTATAATCTTCAAAGTATTAAACAGAAGAAAGTATATTTTTAAAGCTCAAAATAATTACAGTAAACATTAAGTGAAGGCTATATTCTATGTCTCTTTCAATCTTTATTCTACTACAATATCACTTCCTCCAGAAAATGTAGAATTATCTTTTTAAATCACTTTTAGGGATGGATCTCAGCAAACGGGAATATTTTGTGCTTTGTTAAATCTCTTGGAAAGTGCAGAAACAGAAGAGGTGGTTGATGTGTTTCAAGTAGTAAAATCTCTACGCAAAGCAAGGCCAGGAATTGTTCCCACATTTGTAAGTACAGCTCATTATTGCTTTGAATATATTTTGTATTTTTACTTGGACAATCTCTCCTCATCTCCCCTTTCTTCCCATCCTCCTTTCCTTCATTTCTGTTAATTTTTCTATTCATTTTTATCTTCCACTTTACTTGATAATTCACATTGTATTATTATCAATCCAAATAGGAGACCTATTCAGAGTTTGCCAATAGAAGAGTTCTGTTCATCATTTAAGGCTTAGCCATTTTGGACCAAACTGCCACTGATGTGTCCACTGAAGAAGAAGATTCATCCGGGGGCCTCCTGGTGGCGCAGGGGTTAAAGTCTCAGTACTGTCAAACTACTGCCAGCCACTGTGGCATGAATTAGGTCCCCAGCCAGGGAGCTAACCCACATGTCTTACCTGCTGCTCCCCTCAGCAGTGTATTTCAGTAGATCTGCCTTTTCTGCTCCCCACTCTGTCTTTGGTGAATCCTCTCACCACCACCCCACACCTCTGGTCTATACCCCAGTTCTTGTTTGCATAAAAATGAAATAAATCTTTAAAAAAGGAGGTTCATTCAGGCATATTCATATAATGCTCCAGAGGTCTAAGAGGAGAACATCAGTATACAAGATCTCTAGAGACACAGGCTTAGAACTGGCAAGATGCATGTTCCTCTGCATTTTATCACCTAACAAGTCACCTGGCCATTCCAGATGCAAAGCATGGGGAAATAGACTCCACCTCTTGTTGAAAGTTTCTGCAAAGTCACATTGCAGTCATGAACAGAGAACAAAAGTGTAATTTTTTTTTTTTGTAGTCAGTGTAACATGTATTCTCTGTAAGTGGTAGCAACCATAAATGAAAGTCTGCATTTAGTAAGTAGTGCCAATATAAACTTAACTACTCACTCAAATATATGCAACTTTTATTTGTATATGACACTGAGCTTGTATATATTGATTTTGTATGTATTTTATATATTGATTTTGAAAATGTATTGAGCACTTACCATGTGCTCCTGTCACTAAGAGACTTGATGTTTAGTGGAAGAAACAGGCAAATATTTATTAAATAATGTAGTAGGTAAAATGACAAAGAAATTGTAGAACATAAATGAGAATACTTATTTGAACCTATGGGGTTCAGGCAACTCTTGCCTTGATACTTAGATAATGTGTGGGCATAAACCATGAGGATAAGCACAGAAGGTGGTGGCATTATAGGAGCAGGCATGGGAATGAGAAAGCACATGTCCTGAAAGAGGAATGAGCACTAATTGAGTTTTGATATAAGGTAAATATTGAAGAGTACAGAGTACTTGCAGACAGAATTTAGAACTGTAAGCCATTTAGAATGTTCTCTTTATTAACATGAGTTTCTTCAGGAGTTCCACAAATAAATGATTAATTCCTGTTAATTTTCATCTGATATAAAAATAATTACTAAAATTTCTCTAATGTCTTGCTTCTTTTCTTTACCAGGAACAGTATCAATTCCTATATGACATCATTGCTACCATCTATCCTGCCCAGAATGGACAAGTAAAGAAAAACAACCAAGAAGATAAAATTGAATTTGATAATGAAGTGGACAAAGCAAATCAGGATGCAAATTGTGTTAGTCCCATTGGTGCCCTAGATAAAGCCCAAGAAGGAAACAAGGAAGAAGTTTCCAAATCCACTAGTGGCACTGAGGAGCCAGAACAATCTGCCAATGGTCCAGCAAATCCAGCTTTAACACAAAGTACATAGAAAAAGACAAAATTGGGTCAACTCAAAAACTCACCTAGCCAGTATTTTTATTTTTTTAGAAGTAAGTGGGTAAAATAGATATATAGTAGATTAATGAAATGCACTGGACCAGTATCCGTGAAAAGTTTCAGTTTACCAGTGAAAACAAATATTTAAGATGGTTTTGCGAAAACATTTTGTACAGTCTTGTGTTATTGTTTTTTTTTTAATTTTATCTGTCACTAAAGGACTCTAGTCTTTTGCATTAGTGTGTGTTTGTGTGTGTGCATGAGTGTGTGACAGGTAGAAAGAATAAGAGGAAGGCTGAATTCAAGTGAATCTAAATGCTCTTGAAAAACTTTGCCTTTTTTGTCTTTTGGAAAAAAGTACATTTTATACTGGAAGTATTAATTTAGATTAAAAGACCTATTTTTAAATCCTGAATTATATATAGGATCTGTGAAAGAATACCTGTATATTTCTAGATTGACCTCAAGATGTCCTCCTTGTTCTACTCATGTTTACTATCTTATTTCTAGAAATAGATATGTAAGTAGTGTGTGTGCATATAGTTACCAAATGTAGGCCAGCTAAATCAAACTATTGAAAAACTTTATTCCAAATGTTAGCATATAGTCCGATATTTTTTCAAGCTTATTTAACCTAATTTAAATTTTCAAGCAAGGCTATCTTGTTATCTTCACATAGTCTCTACAATTTTGCAATATGGATATTCTGTGCCTAGTATGTGAAATTCATTGCTTGGTACTTTTAACCAAAAATTGTATGTTTCTGACAACTGAACATCTTTAAACAAATCCAACATATATTAAATCCATAGGATAAAAATAGAATCATTCAAATGTATTTGTGCTAAGTATTAACACATGAAATCTAATGTAGCTATTTTTATGGAGTGCAACATTGATATGAGAAATATCCTATTGCATATGTGTTTTTCCATGTTAAAGTTCATCCTTGACTTTCACTGAAGTGTATTTACTTTGAATTTCTCAAATGCTTAGACTGCTTTTACCAGGAGTTAATAATCATAATAAAATTTGCTCATTATCTTTTTTGTACATATTTTAAGTGTTACATGTTCATATAGACATTAAAATATAGACTTGCATTTGACATTTGTAGAACAATTTTACAGGTCACATTTGAAAAAAAAATCCACAGTAAAAAGTTGTTTATGGTAGGGCCTCTCTGGTGGCACAGGCAGTTGTGCACCAGCTGTGAAGCTGTCCCCAGCCTCTGCAGTGTGGGTTTGATCCCGGCCAGCCGGAGAGAAACACACATGGCGCAGCAGACCTCTCCTGTCTCTCCCATTGCCCCCCTCAGTGGTGTGTTTCAGTCAGTCTGCCTGTTCTATTCCCTGCTCTGTCTCTGGTGAGTACTCTCACCCCCCACACATCTGGCCTGTACCCAGTTCTTGTATAAATAAATAAATCTTTTTAAAAAAAGTGTTTATGATATAGAAAAATTTCAAGGAATATTGCATTTTTCAAATAGTAATAAACAAAACTCCTTTTGGAGAATTCTCCATCACCTTATTATATGAGTCACACACTACCTTTAGGTTGGTTTGATTTTCTGTTTTTTTTTTTTTTTTTAAGATTTATTTATTTATGCATATAAGAACTGGGGTACAGGCCAGAGGTGTGGGAAGTGAGAGAATTCACCAGAGACTGAGTGGGAAACAGAACAGACAGACTGACTGAAATACACTGCTGAGGGGTCACCAGGCAAGACAGAAGAGGTCTGCTCCACCATGTGGTCCACCTCCCTGGCCAGGTATCAAACTCGTGGTGCAGAGGCTGAGGATAGATTCACAGTGCTATGTTTAACCCCTTGCGCCACGAGGGAGGAAGACCCTGGTTTGATTTTCTATTACTTCCCTCTCCTGACTGACTTTAAATGTCTTAACAAAACATCATCCATTGTTTTCGAGTCAATTGACATTTACTCTGTGTTCATTCTTCTAATTCTTTTATTAATATACATACAAAATTAGCAATTAACCCTTACATCATCAGATAGTGCTTTGTCACTGACATATGAAAAGAAGTGCATTTTATAATGAAGCAATAGTTTCTAATTAATCTTAAATTACCCACTATCTTGCTACTTATTAATAAGAAAAGAGGGACGGGGAAATAATTTACTACTAAGGTTTTGCTTCAGAAACCTTCACAGGTTCCATCTGCAAATGACATCTTCCAAATGTGGATGGTGAGTTTTAAATATGTATTTTCAGCTTGAATGTATCCTTTCAAGATGCAAAATAAGGACAAAATAATTGACAGAAAGCAAATAAGCTATTTTTCTCTTAAAGGTTATTTTATTTTGGGTACCAGCATTCATTTGGAATAAATGATACTTAGTATTTTTAAATTCAGTTCCCAAGGCATTAATTTTTCATTCAATAACAAATATGTGCAAATAGACACACATATTTTAATATTTTCCCACAATGGTAAAATTGTGTGAAGTGATTAACTGAATGTCTTTGCAATCTTAAGCTTCTGTTCAGAACTCTAAAGCTTATATCCATTTTCATATCCATTTTTGCTCTTTTTCTCCTGATACATTGGATGTGAAGCTTATTATTTCTTACATTCCTCAACTAAGAATGATCTTAATTTTTTTTAAGATTTATTTATTTATGCATATAAGAACTGGGATACAGGCAGGAGGTGTTGGGGTGAGAGGATTCACCAGAGACAGAGTAGGAAGCAGAACAGGCAGATCGACTGAAATACACTGCTGAGGGGAGCAGCGGTCGAGACGGGAGAGGTCTGCTGCACCATGGGGGTAGCTCCCTGGCGGGGATCGAACTCATGCTGCAGAGGCTGCAGATAGCTTTATAGGTTGCATCTTAACCTCTTGCGCCACCAGGGAGGCCCTTAATTCTTAATAGACACCAGAGATTTGTTATAAAATGTCCTCACAACATTATATGAGGTCTAAATAAATGGGTGATAATTGCCCTGGCTATTTGGAATATGTTTCTTGAAATGAAAACTTTCAAATGCACATCAAAGGGAAGAGTATCTGTTACAACTAGTGAAGGCTGTTTCATTTATCTTCTACAGGTTTTACAACTGGGACAGTCTGAAGGCTCTTCAAAAGAGACACATTCAAAATTGGTCTTTTCCTTTCCTATTTCAGGTGAAAAGATTTATATGCTAAGGGTCCAGTTTTGCAGTCATTCTTTTGTAAATCTCTTTAAGTCTCTCTTTACATTTTACTGGTAAATATATATATTTTTTGGTTCAGTACTAGTTCAATCAAAGAATATACACCCCTGTATCATTATTTATAGATAAAAGTAATCTAGTAAGTGACAATGCCAGGATCTGAACCAATTCTTAATGACACTGTGCTTATAATCTTCTGTTGTTACTGAGTATCAACTCTGTTGTGATTTGAAAAATTAGGAGAGAAAACAATCTAAATTTATTTTCTGTTTTGTCTTTATCCCATGATTAAGAAACACATAAGCGGGCCACCCTGGGGGCACAAGGGGTTAAGCACAGCACTCTTCTGATGCTCCCCTCAGCAGTGTATTTCTGTAGAGCTGCCTGTTCTGTTCCCCACTCTGTCTCTGGTGAATTCTCTTACCCCCACTCCCCTCACCTCTGCCTACACACACCCCAATTCTTGTATGCATAAATAAATAAAAATAAATATTAAAAAAAAATTCCCGAGTGCCAGTTGGGTGCCAGCTCTGTGCTGCATGATTGGCCTGTGGTGTAGGCTAGACAAATTCTCTACATTATGAAACTTGGGCCTTGAGTGTAAAAAAATTAAACACCTTAGTGAATAATGTTATCATATCAGGCATTCCAGAAAAGTAACATAATATCACAGGGAAATAACATTAGGTGATGGAACATCAGAGCGCACAAGGAATCATTTTAGATAGATTAGATAGATAGATAGATAGATAGATAGATAGATAGATAGATAGATAGATAGATAGATAGATAGATAGATAGATATTTTCAAGGAGATCACATTTAGGCAGAGACCTAAATTTGATGAGCTACATACAAGATCTAAGAGGAGTATGGTACCAAACTTCAGGATGACCCCACTGACACTCACACCTTATTTATGCTCTTATGTAATCTCTCATGTTGTATCAGAATTGGTCTACAAGGCCAGTAGGATACAGTGGGAGGGAAGGTATGCAAACACTAAGGTTGGACACGCCTACCACAATACCCAATTTTGATTGAATTATAGCAATAGGGTTATAGCTCTCCTGTCAAAGCAGAAGTGTAGTTCCTGTGTCATAGCAGTAGTGTTGTAGTTCTGGTTTTGCATTTTGAGTATTACAGCAAATTTCTTTGGGGCTTCAAGACTGCAGTGTGTGGACACAAACTCCAGAAGTGCTTGAACTAAATGCTCTTGAGCTCTGTGGGGAGCTGCATATATAGGCAAGGTGGGCAGGCCTAGGTCTTCTATATGCAAGTGAAGTTTTCAGTCAGTGCAGTTCTAATTGGTGGAAAGTTTGTCAAGCAGTTGAATTTCAATCCTGACCTGGTCTGTAGTGTGATTTCATTTCTTCTGGCCTGTGTCTATGTCTGCATGTCCCAACATGCCTAGTCCATGGACATGTCTGCACACATCCCAACATCCTGTTGTCTGGACCCCACTGTACATTCTCCAATACACTTGGACACCTGCATGTGCCTGGGACCCAACCTTCTAGAGTATCCCACTCTACTTGTTTTTGTTTCCCAGAATTGGGGTGGCTCTATGTTCACTTTTTTTTTTTATTTATGAGACATAAAAAGACACTGCACTTCCACCTTCATCTTCTGGAACATGGTCTGGGGAAAGCCAGCTGCCATATCATGAAGATACTCAAGTTTAAGCTTTCAAGTGTTATACATTTGGGAAATTTGTACATGGTGCTTGCCTCTGATAGCTTCCCAGTACTTGAAGATGTCTGATCAGAACAGGGAGAATATTACCAAAAGAAGACACACAGATGTGAACAAGTACCTGGCAGGATGCTCAGCATCCCTTATCATCAAATGCAAATCAAACTACAGTGAGCTGTCACCTCACTCCTAGTGGAATGTCACTATCACAAAGACAAGAAATAGTAAGTGTTGGCATGGACAAAAGGAAACCCTTACCCACTTACTGTTGTGGGCATAAATTGGTATAGCTATTGTGCAAAAACGGTATAGAGAATGCTCACAAAATCAAAAACAGAACTACCAGATGATCCAGCAATCCCATGTGTAGGCATTTTATGTGAAGGAATTGCAAATACCTTTTTTAAAATGGGAAATATTAACTCAAAGTGACAAATGCAGCCCTATGTTCATCACAGCACTGTTCACAATAAATAAGACACAGAAGACATCTCGGTGCCCACAGATAGGAGAATAAAGAAAATATGGTATATTTATATGTAAAGGAAGATTATTCAACCATAAAAAGAAGGAAATCTTGCCATTTATGACCTTGAGGGCATTATGCTAAGTGAAATAAGCCAGAGAAAGACGACTACTATGTGACCTGAATTTTAAATATGTATATAAATGGGCTGAGCAAAATAGGTGAAAGGAGTGAAGAGGTACTAGTTTCCAGATACAAAATAAATCACACCTGAGGATGTTATGTGTTGCAAGCGGACTACAGTTCTTTACACTGTGTTGTATATTTGAAAGTTGTTACGAGAATAGATCTTAAAAATTCTGTCATAAGAAAAATATTCTCATGTGTGATGAGAAATGCTAACTAACTTACTGTGGTGATCTTCATTAGTTTATTTATTGCTGCACAGTCTTACATTTATGGACTTCCTAACAAGTGCCCTATTGATTCTACATATTTTAAAGCTGTCAATTATAATTACGATGGAATTTTAGAACAGGAAATTTAGGAATAAGCAGAATTAAACTCTAACCAATGAATAATATTTCCTCTTTAGGATAATCCATTAAGTGGCTCCAACTTCATTCCTGGAAACTTGGCAATTAATTGTATTACATCACTAATGAAATTCTATGTCCCTCTGGCACTGGTAGT